TTGCAGGTTGGTTTGGGAGAACATATTGCAATACTTGGAAGTGTAAGTAGTTAAAATTTCTTGAGTCTACTGTATTTTCCAGTTCCAGTTTTGTTTCTCTATAACCTTTTTCTGGGTTTGTTTTACTCGAGTCCCATTTAGATGTTGCAGAAAAATAGAAACCAACTCCTTTATATCGATTTCAAGCCAATGTACTGGATATCATATGCAACTGTGCAAGAAAAGCTGCTAAAATACTACATAAAACTTTCTCTGAAAGAACTAAAATAACTAGTTCAAAATGCAAAACTACAATACACTTGATGAAAATGCTAGAAAGATCTAAACTTGTTGACAGGTGAAGGAGATTATCAAATCTTCACACCTGCAACGAGAGAAAGGCCTTAATGCTTAAAAAAATCTTATAAAGAAACTCAATACATCTTTTTGGAACAGGAGGTAGCAGTACTGAGATAATGCATAAATGAAGAAGATGAGGATACAACCACCAAATCCTCACAGGCAAGCTCTATATAGACAATGAAACTTCAATACCCAGCTAAACCATCTTCGGTGGTGGCAAGCGAAGGTGAAAGCGAATTACGAGATTCATCGTATTCTTCTCCCAGAGGTGACTGCTCAACCCTAATATCCTCAATCATCTTCACCACTTGTGTCATTGTAGGCCTCTTTTCAGGCAATGGAACTACACAGGCTAACCCTACGTGAAGCATTGACACAAGTTCTTCTTCAATGTTTTTATACCTCAGGAGTTCTTGATCGAACACTTCTGCTGTCCATTCTTCTTTAACAACTGATCTAACCCACTTAGGAAGATCCACTGCCTGCTCTTCCTCCATTCTTGGACACGTTGGAGAAGGGTACTGTGATGGAGCTCTTCCGGTAAGAACTTCTAATAACAAGACACCGAAACTGTACACATCTGCCTTTTGTGAAAGTCTTTTAATTTCTGCCTGCTCTGGTGCTTTGTATCCTCCCATTCTAGCTATTGCATGAACTGGGTTCAAAAGAAGTGACAACCCAAAATCAGAAATGCAAGCTACACCATTCTTGTCAAGAAGCACATTGCATGATTTCACATTTCCATGAGGGATTTTTGCTGCACTGTATTCCTCATGGACCTTAGCCAACCCTCTCGCAGCTCCTAGAACCAAGCTGATTCTTGTAGTCCAATCTAGGGGAATTCTCCCTGGACCCCTATTCCCTAATCAAACAAACAATAATTAAGAACATCAATCTAGAACTTAATTAGCAGAAAAGAAGAATCATTAAACATTGTAATTACCATGAAGAAGTGAATGTAGACTTCCATTAGGAAGATAATCATAAACAAGAAGCTTCTCTTCTTTAGCATAGTAATAAGCTCTGAATCTCACAATATTTGGATGTTTAACCTTTCCAATAACATCCATATATTGCTCAAACTCTTTTCTTGCACAAGGGTTTGCGTCTTTTAACCTCTTAACAGCTACTGTACATCCATCGTCAAGCACAGCCTTATATACAGTCCCTAAGCTTCCTTTCCCAAGCATCTCTGCCGAAGCTCGCAGCAAGTCTTCTAGCTCAAATTGTTGTCTCCTATCAAAGAATACAAGTCTACTTCTATCAGTAGCATTTGTCCCATCACTATCAGCACCTCCATTTACATACACTCTCTTTTCACTTCCATAACTGCTTCCACTCTTTCTTCTCTTTCCACTGTCACTGCCCACTTTAGAGGTTCCGTTTCTGTCTCTACCGCAATAATATGCAACCAGAAATGACATCACCACCAAAATTGCTACACAATTGGCTATCACTATGGCCACTATAGCGCCAGGAGTTAGCCCTTTATGTGATTCAGATTTGGTTTTAGTGAGAAGTGGCGTTTGAGGCATTGAGCTTGGATTAGACGGCACCGTTTGAGCTGTCGTGTCAGCCGGTATATCTCCTGTGAAGGAACACGCCGGTAATGGACTTGATCCGCATATCCCTTCGTTGCCGGAAAAGCTCCGGTCATTAAATTTCTTCAATAGATTATCTGGTAACCGTCCGTACAGTTCGTTATTCGATAAGTTCAATTCTTTTAAATAAGGAAGTGACTTAGAGAGATCAGGGATTTTGCCGGAGAGTTCATTGTTTTGCAACCGGAGTGTCAGTAGCTTGGTTAAGTTCGTTAAACCACTGGGAATTTTGCCTCGAATGTTGTTGTCCGATAGGTCTAAGCGGAGAAGCCGCTTGAGAGTGGAAATTTCTGGTGGGATCTCACCGGAGATGTCATTGCCAGCGAGGTAAAGAAGCTTGAGATTGGTACAGTTTGTGAGAGGTAAAACGGTACCGTTGAGACGGTTATCATGGAGGTCAAGGACGCGAAGCTGATCAAGAAGAGAAAGGGAAGTAATAGGTCCACGTAGCGAAAAAGAAGGAAGAGAAAGAGAAACAACACGACCGCCGGCGGAGCACTTAACGCCAACCCAAGAAACAGAACCACAGGCATTCCCGCCGGTCCAGTTGGAGAGGAGGTTACCATGAGTATCGGTTTGAAGGCGGAAGAGAGTGAGTGCATTTGTGTCATTTGATAGAGCAACAGAAATAGAAAGAGAAAGAAATAGAGAGAGTATAGCAGAGAAGAAGAGGGGAGAAAAGTTTCCCTTCATTGTTGTTGTTGTTAGGCGGGAAGAGAAAGAGCAAAGAGAGTGTTTTAAAAATATAGAAAGAAGAGAGTTTTTGGATTCTTTGAATTCTTCTATTTTGTCTCTCCTTCTTCCATTTCTAAAGGGATAGAGAAAATACTACAAAAGTTTAAATATAAAGAGAGGGAAGAGAGAATATATTATTTATTTATAAATTATTAATTAATGTTGATGATGGGTTATGATTAAAGGGAAAGAAGTGGGGGAGATTTAATTATTACATATTTAAGAATTTTATATGATTAAAGTTGAAATTATAGATGGTTGGTTCAATGATTGATGTTTTCCACTCCTACCATATAGAATGAGTAAATTTCATTACTTTTAAAACTTTTGCATATGGGTTATTATTATTATTATTATTATTATTATATTCCCTACATTTTCTATTTTAGAGCTTCTTAATTAATCATTGCATGCATTCTTTTCACCATTTTAGCTTCTCTTAAGTCTCTTGTTTATGACTTTTGGTTTTGTCATTTATGTAGGTAATTAGTAGAACAATGTCCAATTGCAATTCAATGTGGTTTGTTGTACATTTTTGTTGTTTTTGGAGCATTGTTATTAAAAGTGTATTTTGGTACTTTGTGACTTTTCATATGGACCACTATACTGTTGGAGGTTTTCCATTTTGAATTGGTTGGCCAAAACTACATACTCCATCTAACCCATCCAAACTTAAAATTTTTAGACCTACAACACTTTCTCATATAATTGTACCTAAAAACGAAAAACCCAACTAATAATTTAATCGAAAAATATTTTTAGCATAACATGTATCCACGGCGATGTGAAGACTTTTATACTCTTTGAAAATTTTTTAGCCGTTCTAGTATTGCTGATGTCATGTCATGTCATGAATGATATTGTGAATGCACACGGTTGTGTACGCCATTTAGCAAAACTCTAATCTAATATACTTTCTCTTTTATTATTTTGAAAAAAAGTTAAAATGCGCCCTTAGATTATTTTGAGGTGCATTGTATTTTTTTTAATTATATTTTTGAGTTGTTAATAAATTTTGAAATATAGTTTTAGTGTTGATTTAATTGAATTGAATTGTATATGTTATTTCTGCCTTTCAAAAATGTTCAAATCCCTCTCATTGGAAAATTATAACATAAAACTCTAATTTTTAATTATTTTAGAGTTGGTTTGAATTGATGGTTTTGAGTATTGAAATTTAAATATTTTATTTATTTTGATTAAAAAAAAAAGCCAAAAAACTGTGGAATAAAGACATGCCATCATAATCTCAATTTTTACCATGCCTATTTTACAATTCCCATTGAAGTAAATAGTAATTATTAATTCAAATAAGTTATAGAACATTTATATTTTTTTCTATGCATGAAAATATTAATAATATTTTCTACCTTAGCCATTGAAGTTCAAAGTTGAAACATTTCGTATAAAGATTTGAAGTTTTCACTTTTGGACTGTCTATTAGACATTATTGTCGGGGCAACAATGAATTTTAGATGCTCTACGCATGCTCTTTAAATAGCTTTTTCCAACCCTTTTCTTTCTTTTTTTTTTTTTTTTTGAGAATTTAGATGCTCTTACGCATGTCTTTAAATAGCTTTTTCCAACCCTTTTCTTTCTTTTTGTTTTTTTTTTTGGTAAATTTTTTTTTTTTTTTTTTTGGTAAATCAACCCTTTTCTTTTTTTTTTTTTAAAAAAAAAGAAAATATGTACTACTTCTAAGAAACAGAATCAAGAACTACAAGAGCTTCTGTATTTCTTGAAAGCTCATGCCATATTTATAATTGTAGATAATTTTGATTTTCAATTTTTAATTTATCTATACAAAATAAGTCAAATTTATCTAAAAATAAAAACTAAATTAAATGTAAATAGAATTTATTTATTTTTAAGGAATGGATATAGCTATGGTGCTGAGAGGGCAAATTTAAATAATTTGATTTGACACTTGTTGGTCCCTTCCTCTCCATTTTCATGGAAGAAAAAAAGCTTGCAACTTTAAGTGATAAGGAAGCAAAGTTTTGTTGTGTCCAATAATCATTAAATGAATTTGTCCCCTTGACATAACATTTATTTATTTATAATACTTCAACCTTGTTCATGGCACATTGGCATTTTAACCATTTTGACTTGTTCATACATTGGTAAAAACATTATTGAACAATATGTAATTAGTTATGACTGTTAAATTGTCAATTAATCATTTACATAACTAGAGATTTTTTAATTTTATATATATATATATATATAATATTACTTCCATTAATTAGATTTTCTATATTAGGTCCCGGTAAAGGATGCGTGGGGAGGCCATGATTGGAAGGGTGGATGGTACATCTGCAAATTCAAGAGGTGATGTTTTGTCTCTCAAAGTGAAAGAAAAAAGCCACAGCTTTTTTTAGGTTTAAAATCAAGAATTGACTTCTTCTTCTTTGCTATTTTATATATATATATATATATATTACTTCCATTAATTAGATTTTCTATATAGGTCCCGGTAAAGATGGTGGGAGCATGATTGAGGTGGAATGGTACATCTGCAAATTCAGAGGGTGATGTTTGTCTCTCAAAGTGAAGGAAAAGCCACAGCTTTTTAGGTTAAAATCAAAATTGACTTCTTTCTTTGCTTTTCAATACCAAACATGCAAAAGAAAAAGAAAAAGAAAGAAAAAGAAAAAGAAAAAGAAAAAGGGAAAAGAGAAGAGAAGAGAGAGATTGGTGGCGGGATTCGTGTTCTAAATTTTCTTCCACACAACTTTCAACTGGTTCTTTTTTATTTTGTCCACCATTTGGACAAAAAGGCTAGATATAAATTAGCTACACTGATTACCCATTTGTTAAAAACAATGAAAAATGTTGTTCAATAAATAAATTTCATTAAATTTTGTAGAATTCATCTAAAAGAATCTAAATTTTTGTATTTGAAATAAAAGAAAAATGACTATTAATTAAATTCTATTAAATTGAATATAATTAAATGAAATTTGATAGAATTTGCAAATAATTCCACGAATGAATTTTCAATTTGATCAATCAAAAATCCTCATTCTCTAACCTTCTAAAATGCTCCCTGAGACATTATTCCATTCAAGGCTTGGAGATTATTTGAGTTGATGGATTGAAAAATCCATGAAACTTTTTATTCTGAAAAACAAAACTAATAAAATTGAAAAGTATTTTTAAAGTAAAAATTAAATGAATTAAAATTTATCATTATTTAAAAAATAATCCATAAAATTTTACATTCTATCATTTGATTGAAATTTAAAAATTGAGAAATAATATTCATGAAATTAAAGACGGTATTCAACAACTTTTTTACACACTTTTTATAATATTTGGTAACATAATATTTCAAATAACTGTTAGAAGTGCGTTTTATAAAAAATTAACCCTATAACAATTAGCATTTAGCTTTTAACGTTTTATGAAAAATTACTCAAATAATTAAGATCTGTTCAAATAGTTAAATATTACTAAAACAATATATTATCAGATCAACTAATTTTTGCCGAAAAGGCCCAAAAGACATTTTTGTTTATTCAAAACTTGACTCCCTCATTCCAAGCATCCTCCTCTACCGTTCTTTGCGGAGAACTGTACACTAACATGCTTAAACACTTGACGTTGAGAAGAGAATAACTACTTCTCGTATGAATTTTCTTCAGGAACACCCAACAACTCCACGTTCTAGTAAATACATTAGACTGGAAAGAATCAACCAAGCATTCTAGGCAAACATTGCCAATGCTGTTCATACATATGTACAATTTTCCGGTACAGACAAATGAGAATGCCAAAATGTGCACAAATCTAGTCCTTTTCAACTAGTTCCAAGTATGATGGATCGCTTTCAGATTACCCATTTATTGCCTAAATATGAATTGTTTATAGAACAAACTAACGAAGGAAACACATCTGGCAGATATAACCACTTACATGTTCATCGTCTGTACAGAGAACTCAGAAAAGAGCAACCAAAGGAAATGTAAATTGCTAGTGCAAGGACCCAGTAGCCAATTCTCTAATCACCGTTCTCAATGTTACCATAGCGGTTGAGAAATTTGCCTAACCGTCAATGAGATTGTAAGCAAGGAAATGTATTATATCCAAGAGATGAACAAGATTGCTAGTGTCATACAGATCTTTTATCCAAATGTCTAATTCAGTAATTTTATTGATTTCTACTAGACATTTAATGGAAAAATGCAAACGAATATTGACAACTATAACAAACTTATCACAAGTCTTACTGCACTACAACTTCTCTTATTCTTAAACTTTCAATTTAAATTCAATGTTTTTGAGTCTGAATGCTTCACAAGGAAAGCAAGGCAAAAACCATGTGCCTACTCTCACATCAAAAGCCAATTAAGTAGTGATCTATAAGGGGAGTCCCCCTGCTAAAGGGCCAGGCTTAGCCAACAGATTAAAATCAAAAGGCAGCAGATCACAGCCCATTTTGACTCACTATGTTTAATATATGACGTGTATAATTTTCTATGGTACGAATCAACTTGTCTGTTTGCCATAGCTTTTGGAAATAATTCAGAAAAGCACCCCTTTAGATGCTTCTCTGAAAGCAGTGTCCATCCATTTTTGAACTGTTTAGAGTTCACATATGCAAAACATGCTCGAATGCGAGCTCTCTAAATAGTCATAATTCAGGCACAGTTTAACACCATTTGCATGTTAGAAAAGTTCGCAGAAACATGTGTGTGAAGAACTTAAGGCATGTGACTAAACTGCCTTCTTCATTTTCCCTTTTCTCAAGGATGAACTATGACTAATGCAATGAAAGACTAAGCGACAACCTTGAACAATAGATCACATTCAAATTCATGACCATTACCTGGAAAATATAAAACTTGCAATACCATGTTGGTGAACATGACGTGTAAAATCATTCATTGTAGAGAAAGTAACTGAAAAGATCTCAGCTCCTGATTGATAAATAGAAACCACTCTTAAGCCAGTAAACACCCAAATCCTTGAGAAGACCACTTGAAACATCACTTCATGGCCCATCCTATAGAGCATTATATATGTGAAATCTGCAACAGCATAAAGCTGAAAAGAATGACTAAAATATGGAGGAAATTAGCTGGAGGAGGTGAGAAGAAACTGCCCCTTGATGTGCCTCCTGGCCACTTACCCGTTGTGGTTGGGGAAGCTAGAAAAAGGTTTGTCATGAGAGCAGATTATTTAAACCACCCAATTTTCAGGCAGCTGCTAGACCAAGCATATGAAGATCATGGTCGTAACAAAGATGGCCCTCTGGCTATACCATGCGATGAGTTTCTCTTTCAAGGAATACTCCATACACTTAGAGGTGATGCAGATGTGAGTCAGTTCTCTTGCTTCTGTAAGGATTCAACTCCTCTTCTTCAAGGATATGCAAGAGGATCTACACGCTAGATCAACTGCTGGGGTAGTTGTGCAAGAAGTAACGACAGAAGCCCATGTTGTCTGTCTTCAAAGCCACAGTAACTTAGCATTAGGCAAAAAAAGTAAAGAGTTAGTCATTTTCCTGCAGCAACAATGCAGTAGATAAAGGATTTCCACCAGCTTCAGCATTTGTCTGGCAATTAATCATGTTGCAGATTGCATATGAGTAAGTACAAAATACTAGTTAGTTCAAAAATAAATAAAATTTAACAGACACCAACTGCACACAGTACATCTTCAAACCATTGTACAACTCCCTGAAGCTGAACCGTCTTTCAGGGAAACATTCAATTTAGCAAGAAGCTTGCTATCATTGTTGTTATAATCACTTTTTCACGGCAAATATGTATCTTAGTCATCTGGCATTGATATCAATAAATAGCTTGAGCTGCCATGTGCATGCATGGCTATCAAGCATTTTGCTAGCTGGTTTCAGGTAACTTTGATGCCACATTTTTGCTTCGTTGCATGGAGACGGAAACGGGAAAAAGATATTTTTAAAAATATAGGAAACAAAAACAGGGTGAAATGCATATATATGAAAAATACAGGGTTATATTTATAAATATAAAAAAATAAATTATTATAAACCATTAAATATATTCAACAACAAGTCAAGTTCAATCAACATTTAATCATATTAAAAGAAAAAAAATCATTTATAAGTTCCATGCTCATAACAAATACATGTTTTGAATTTGTATTTATTTATGTATTTATTTTAATTAGAGAAATGAGTTTCTGAGAGTTTTCAATTTATAGAAATGTATTTTTGAAAGGGGAAAAGTGTTTCCAAATTACCCAATTTACGGAAATGGCCCCGAAATGTTTCCGAGGAGTTTCCAAACATTTCAGTGCTTGAAACTTTCCGAAACACGGAAACGGAAACCAAAGAAAGTTTCCATGCAACATAGCTTTTTTGTGAAAAGCTCTCACGCTCCACACAAATACAAACCTTATGGTCTCTGTGCCAGTTTTCATCTACTTTCACACAAAGATTTTCTCAGAACATGATAATTGAGCAGATTCCAGACATTGGTGATGATGCCTCTGGACAGAAAATGGAATGCTTGTTTTGCAGCCATGCGTCGTACTTCTAGAACTCTGGCATCACTAAAGAGTTCCATAATAGCTTCTTCAAGCTCTAAGGTACTGGACACCTGCATGGACCGTGACAATAAAGTATTTAAATTAGTCCATCCACCCGTCCAAAAAAATAAAAAAAGAAAGAAAAAGAGAAGGAGAGAGACACTATAATTTCCAATGAATTCAAAACCCTTTTTTCTGCAATCCTTCATCCCCCTCTCAATGTTCAACTGAATGACTGATAAGATGATTGGCAATGCCAATACAATTGTCATAAACTAATTTTCTACCCAATAACAGATCTCTTTACACAAGGAAAAAAACAGGGAGCATAATTTTAAACTGCATATTTTTCTTTTTCATCCTTATGGTTATTTGATTCATAAGGTGCACGGAGTTTTGTTCATCTTTTATTTTTCATACTCCCAAAGCACAAATATCAGTTCATATTTTGGACATAATTCTATGATTTGAGACAGATTCTAAAAGGAGTCTATTTCCAATTAATATGTTTCATTTGATAGTCAAGAATAAATGTGAAAGAAGGGATTTTCAAACCTGAATAACTGATAAAGGATTTATTTGTTGCATCCTATTTAACATGTGTGAGAAATGCCCAACATAATGGCCTGAAAATAGCCAAACAGTAAGCCTCTAAGATGTGATGTTATGAATCAAACAAGAACTATGAGTAAACATTCACCAGTCAAAACTGCACAGCCAGCTGCTGCAGCTTCTGATATATTGTGGCCAGCTAAACCCGGGAAGAAGGAACCCCCAATCACAGCTATAGGAGATAACCTGTACAATTGTCTCAGTTCACCTACAAATGAGTTGAGAAAAGATAAGAATCAATAGTCCATAGTGCAAAAGTAAAAGAGAATGCAAGAAAAAGGGAAAAGAATTGGAAATTTCAGACCTAAAGTATCCACAACATAAATGTGTGTTCCTGGCATAATCCTTTGATGCAGAGACCTCAAAGCTACATTTTGCCCCTCTTTTTCCAATTCCTGAAATTTGTTTAAGTTAAATGTAAGCCAGCAAGTTTGATGAAGTTATCCACTAGAGAATCACAATATATTCCTGACCATAAAGAAGGCAAGCCTTTCTCTTCTCCTTGCAAATAGTCAATTCACTCAATGATTCATTGATTCATTAACTGCAGACATACAAATCCAATATGTGCAAAAAAGAAAACTAAATTTCCCTGAAACAGTTTATAATGCAAAATTACAAAATGACATCCGCAGCACATTCGCTAGCAAGAATCTTTTAGCCCATTAAAAGATCGATATGGATTCTCTCTTTTTTTTGTTGTGTTTTCACAGTATTTTCGAGGCAAATTACAAGGCTCAAAATATGCCACAAAACACTATATGCATGTCCTAAAATTTGCTAAGAATTAGAACTGAATCACTAGGGGTGTGCAAAGAGTCCATTCGTTTGAAAACCAAACCAAACTGGAGCTTCTGAAACAAAAACTGGACCGAACTGGTTTGTTCGGTTTTAGGCTTATTTTTGAGCTTCAGGAAAATGAACTGAAGAAAACTTTTGGGTTTTATCTATGAAAACCGAACCAAACTTTATGTATTAAAAACTGAAGCAAATCAAACCGGTTCTGTTAGGTCAATTCAGTCAGTTCATTTGAATGCTCAGCCCAACTTATATTAATCCACTCGTTTACATATGTTCCTTCCACATTAAACCATTTGCATGGAATTATCCCCATTTAAGAGATAATTGGCTTGAAAACATTGACCAAGGCTTGAAGCTAACTACAACAACAATCTTAACTTTTTAGGGTCTTTTTGGCATTGTTGTTGAGAAACCATTTTGTTGAAAATGTTGACAGTGGGTATTAAATTTTATGTTTAAAGGTAAATTTCACATGTTCTAATCATAAGAGTTTCAAAACAACTAATAACACTCCCAAATTGCTTTTTTTTTTAAGAATATATAACTTAGTGCTTTTTAGAAGCAATTCCAATCTCAACACCAAAGCTCTTAGCCTGATTTAGAGATGCAGCATTTGGGTCACCCCAATGGTCATTGGTAACACAATCATGACAAGTGAAGGGAAAAAGGTAAGGAGAATTGCAAAGATGCAAAACTCTAAACACTCACAAGAACAATAAAAAGCACAAAACTACAATTATTCTAGAAATGGAAGAAATTTGCACCCAAAATTACAAACCATACTTGAGCAATCTGTTGTCCGTGTGGTGGATAACGAGGTACAATGATAGTGATCAGATCAGGGAATGCTTGCAAGAGTGTTTTATGAACTGCCAGAATAACTGCAAGTGGTAGTTGTAAGTACTTCAACCAAATAAAAGTACCAGAAAGAAGGGGGAAAAAATCTTCATACATGTGAAGAAACTGGAACTGCTCAGTAGTGCACGAATGATTTGTTAGTGAGTGAAGAGATCCAAGGGCTAAAAGAGCCCCATGTAACTACAAAATTGAGCCAAAACAAGAAGAAAGAAAAGGAAAAATGTTTGGGTAATGAAAAAAATAGTGCTCCTCAGTGGCAAAAAACTACAAGAGGAATACCAACTCTAGTAGTTTAATATTATTATCATTAAATTAAACATAAAGCTTACGCAATTGTACCAAACTTTTCAGAATCAATGCAGTAAGAATGTAATATAATAACACAGTAAGATATTCACATAAATTTTGATGCATGAATGATTCAGATGATTGAATTGAACTAAAACATGTAACGATTGCAGAATAGCAGCAGTTAACCTTTTTCTTCACCCTTATGTATGGAAGAAGCCATCCAAACCTTCCTACAGCCAAGCTGCCTCTCCAGATGTTCTATGCTTCCTGTCCCTCCATTAGAAAAATCATATTCGACTGCTGAAAGTAAGCAACTGTAAATTTAGATAGGATAAACGACTATCGTCTCAGCTGCCAAAATGTGATTCAAGAAAAACATAGGAACTTAGATTACTTTGGGGGAACACAAAATAAGGAAGTCAGATTTTAAGAAATGAGTTTAGAAACCAATTGGAGAAAAAATGATACTGATAGATCTACAAAATATGGGAAGCTTGGATCAATATTTTGTCCATTATATATCATTTCTAGTTTTATGGACCACCTTTTGGGTTCAACAGTTCAACACATCAAAGGTATAGAGAGAATTTTTCAAGAAGAGTTAAACAGCATACCAAATTTCAAGTCACCCGAAAAGTTAATGATAGAAGGTGGGGCCTGCAGAACCTGGAAGCAAATTGCCTGCATGGTACTCTATAGCGGGCAAAAAGATCATGACAATGCAACACAACACAAAAGCAAGTGAAGTAATAGAAATGATACCTAAGGTTAAAAAATGGCACACGTACCAGTGGGATGATCAAGGAAAATTTAGAAAGCATAAGTGAGATCAGTGGAAGAAGCAATGGTTGTGACCATAATCTAAAGGATTTCGTAGATACTCGAGCATTTAACAGAGCTAGTGAAATCTGCAGGTTGTGAACATATATAAGCTTAATGTATGAGTATATAACCACGTAGACAAATGCATGAGCATGTGTTTGTCAAAATTGCAATAAAAGAAAATAATTGCAAAAATACCCACTATCAACTTACACAAAACAAAGATCTTATAGAACTAGGCAAGAAATTATAATCCTTTTCCAGCCATCAAGACAATAAAATTTTGCTGGTTGAGCAAATGGAGAATTAGAACAATCCTTTATTATTGCCATTATTTTTATTGTTATTACTTTGCACAAAAGATTGCCCTTGCAAAATAGCACGCACACGATGGGATTACTCACACCCTTTCTTGATGAACTCATGATAAGATTTGGCCATAGTTCACTCTCCATTATCATTATAGCATTTGGCTTCCAGTAGCCAAGGAAAGCCTCCATAGCAGCAGGGGTATCGAGTGGGGAAAACTGGTTCAATAATAAAGTTAGAGTACAATATAAGAGAACATGAATATTTTCAGCAAAACAAACAAAACAAAAATGTGTATTAAAGGTCAATATCAATGAAATTGGACATAAAATAGTACCAGAAATGTATTTTTGAATCAGAAGGCAAAACATATTTAGGTCAAATATTTTCCAAATCAAGGAAAGATTTAATCCAACAGAATCCCCGCTTATTCAGCATAGCTAACATTCAGCTAGGGATAGAGATACCCTTTTCTTTCTCCAGGAGGTATCAGCAAGACTACAATAATGTCTTAAGCTAAGCTGACCCTTTCTATTATAAGTGAGAACTGTCATAGATAGAGCAAGCAGGGAAAAAGCCTCTTCATCACTCATTATGTCACAGGTGAATTATGATTTATTAATATATGAAAATCCAACAGTACTAATGTACTAACAGTTCCCAACCCAACAAAAAATTCCCACCCAAAAAAAAAAAAAAAAAAAAAGTACTAATGTTACTAACAGTTCCAACCCAACAAAAATCCCACCCAAAAAAAAAAAAAAAAAAAAAAAAAATCATCTGGAAATTGGGTTAGATGATTACTACTGAGAACAAGTAAAAAAGATCTCCAGATAAGTACCTGATATAAGACACCACTTGGAAGCTGATTCTTTATAACTTCACTATGAAATAAAAGGAAAAGTACATTAAACAAAGACGAAAGATCAAGAACCCTCAATCTTATGTTCAAAAAAATGAAACAGAGCATGAACTTCTTTTCCGTAGCATAAAAGAACATACATACATGCGCGTATTCTTATTCCATCATATGCTCAGCTATAGCCTGATTAGTAGTTGGTCATTGTTAATAAACTCAGTGCATTAACAAGGACTAGAAGAAAGAGATTAATCTCAACTTTTCCCCATAAAAACATGTTTCTCACTAAGGAATCACACCTAAAAGTGCAGCCACTCTAAATTATATCACATTCTACATTATCCGTGACATTACAATTATAGTCATAGCCTTTCATACAAGGTAACCAAATTCTAGTCATTAAAAAGAAAGAAAATGAAAAAGAAATGAATGCCATATCTTACAATGCAGACAAGGTCGTAGTTGTCATCAAGATGCTTAAATCAGGCCGGCACTGAATGCACCGTTTAATGACAGGTATAGCCGCTATTCCTTCACCTGTATAAACCATTAAACTTTTTGAATTACCATGCAAACTTAACTTTTGATATTCTTCAAAGAGAAAGAACGAAAGAGAAATCGAATTGCCGAACCTAAGGAGACAGCGTGAAACCAAAGGAGAGGACCAGAGGGGCGAGGGAGGGAGGGACAGCCCAGTCTCTCAGGCCATCGAGTCGGATGCTCGAGTCCTTGGCGACGGCGCCACCTTAGGTGAAGGTGAAATAGCGGTGTTAGACCGTAGCTCAGCGCCCTGTAAATTTTGTACAGCAACATTCCTTTGTTCCCAGCGGCAGCCATGTCTAGTGACTAGTGTGCTGTTAACTCCCCTTTCTAATCGTCGGTTTGGCCTCCGTGCACGGCACCGATAAATCTCGGTAACTATGCCCGATAGTGCACTCTGAGTGAAGTTTGAACCCATAAGTTGGACCAGAAATATTTAGCCCATATGGTATGAATTGGGCCTGTCTGTCAGTTAGGCGGGTATTGAAATTCTCGTCCACGTCCTGTTTGAGTGGGACGAGTTGGGGGTGCAAAACCACCGAACTTATCCATTTCGGTTCGATCAGCTATTCAAAGGAGGTTCAATTTGAAACGATTTGTTATTTTGGTTCAGTTCATTTTTATAGAAATTCATCAGCTGGGCTTCAAATACTGACATGATAAAAATCGATCAAAACAACTTAATTGACTAATTCAGTTCGAATTGAATCAATTCAGATAGAAAAATTAATTTTATTTTTCTTTTATATCCAAAAAAAATAAATAACAAGAGTTTTTTCGAAAAAAAAAAAATACTCTATTCTTATTTTTTTATTATTCATTAATAAAAAAAATACTCTATTCTTATTTTTTTATTATTCATTAATAAAAAATATAAAATAAAATTTTAAAAAAAATATTTCATCACGTGTGGTAGCGAACTCATGCGATATGACAATTTAAAAAAAAAGTAGGAGATTCAATCACGCCTTAAGGATACTACTACACTAAATAAGTATAATAACATACACTAAATAAGTATAATACATTAATATGTCAAATAAATAAATAATTATTTATAATAAATCATAGAACATAAAATAAAAAATCTTTAATTTCTTATTTTAATATAATTAGTTAAATTCTCAATACTATATCACTACTGAAAAATACATTAATAATGTATGTACATTTTTTTATGCAGGTCATATTAGGGGTGTCAATGTGAGTCATGACACATAAACACGATTCATCTAACATGTGAACACGATTTGTCTAACACTCGAAATAAATGGGTTATGGTTGAAGTTAAATGAATTTGTGTCATAAACAAATTACTCATTTATGACACGAATATAAACATGTTATGTCGCGAGACGACACTTAGGTTATATGAGTGATCCGTTTATTTAAGAGTAAAGAGGTAATTTTAGTGTTATATATAAATACTCAAACTAGAACTTACTTAAATTTTATTGTTATATTACTTTTTTATTTTAATTATAAATCTTAAAGAATTTATGCATTTTATGTCTGAAATTTTATTTTTAAATATGATTGGAGTTAAGAGTTAAAAATGCTATAAACAGGTTAAGTGAGTCGTATATAGATCAACACATCCACTTAATCTATTTATAATATTAAGTGGGTTACACGAGTTGTATATCAGTTAACACGATCCACTTAACCTGTTTATGGTATTAAGATATTAAGCGGGTTAAACATGTCGTGTTCGTATCAACCGTTTAATTCTCGTGTTGTGTTTGTGTCAAAGTTATAAAAAATTATTGCATTCTTAAATATTACTCTGTGCATCGCGCAGATTCTAACACTAATTTATTTATAAAATAATAAATTTTTTAATTTTTTCCCTCATATTTTGAAAAAAAAAAAATCACTTTATCTATTTTTTATTATGGCTAATCCATTTTGTATACGAGTGAGTCCATACAATAAACGGAGGCAACTAGGACAAGTGATTTTTCTAGTTGACAACAATTGCAGTTTTCAACCGCAAGAAATTTGTAACGCCCTATTTTTCCTGTGTTGAAATAGTTGTTTATCGGTCTGTGAATAGTACTATCAGTCCGGGAGTCGGTATTATTTTAGTCCGGAAAAATTATTATATATGATTAATATTTTATATCACATTCTTGGAGCATGCATGCATGGTTTTTACATTTTTGGAGCATGCATGCATGATTTTTATGGGTAGAAAGTAAGTAGTGAATATTTTTGGAGAATTTTAGAGAATTAGTGAGTAGTAACTTAAGATGTGATATTAATTAAGGAAATTAGAGGCAATAGTTTGTATGGATTAAATATTTGAAATGGTGGTATATTAATTAAAGAAAATTAGAGAATTATTTTTATAGAGTAAAATAAGAATTTTGTTGTGTTATAATATTGTTGAAGGAATTTAAAGTTGGACGAAATCACAGTATTGGTGGCCGGCGATGAAAGAGGGATATCACAGATTATGTTCGAGGTGTTTGTTGACGTGCCAGCAAGTTAAAGCAGAGCACCAGTTTCCTTCTGGTTTGTTACACCCTACTGCGATTCCAGAGTGGAAATGGGATAAGGTTACAATGGATTTTGTGACTAGATTGCCTTTAACTCCTAAAAAGAAAAATGCTATATGGGTAATAGTTGACAGACTAACTAAGTCAGCACACTTTCTTCCTGTTAGAACCGACTTCACCATGGAGCAGTTTGCAGAGCTTTATATAGATGAGATAGTGAGATTGCATGGAGTTCCTTCATCCATCATTTCAGATAGAGATCCGAGATTTACTTCTAGATTTTGGACTTCTAGATTTTTGGAAGAAAGTTCCTACATGAGGCCCTGGGTACTAAAGAGACTGAAATTTCAGACAGCTTATTCATCCCTCAAACAGATGGTCAGTCAAGCGGGTTATTCAGATTTTGGAGGATATGTTAAGAGCTTTTGTGTTGAGTCGAGGTTTGTGGCAGTCAAGGGTCAGTTTGGAAGAAAGTACATTCGACTTTATTCGAATTCCGCCCTATAATAACAGTTAATCAGTCGAGTAACTAAAAATCACTTCTTAATTCAATGATTTAGTATGTTAAAGTAAGACGGTGCCTCCGGCACCGAATGTGAACTTCCCACCGTCGCGTCTCTCGGGACTGGGCGGCCCGGTTCGTTAAGAAAATTAGTCATGATTTATATGTTAAGTTAAGACGGTGCCTCCGGCACCGAATGTGACTTCCACCGTCGGGTCTCTCGGGACTGGGCGGCGGGTGTTACAAAATTAGTAACTACTCGATCAAAATATAAAAAGAAAACTTTTTATTTAATTTCAAAGAAAAAAAGTTAATAGTTTTAGCATAATTGTCCATGGAAAACAAATTATTTTGTACACATTCTAAATTATTAATATACAAATTACATATTAAATCAACACGTTACCTCCATCAAAATCATTTATTTAATATTCATCTAAAAAATCATTTATTTAATATTAAAAAAAAACAATATGCTACATCATTACAAAAATATTGAATGGGGACCAAAATATATTTTTAATAAAATTGTTGAAATCACCAAAAGTATAAAAAATATGATTTAGGGGCAACTAACCCGTCAGTAGAGGACCAATCCAAAGCCTAAATTAATTTCATTGAGTATATAATAGCTTATTGATATTAATTTCTTATGTCTATATCAGATTGAAATAAATTAATCATCACTAATATGGGAGTAATAAAAAAATATTGCACCCATCACAACTTTATAAAATAAATATTTATCATATAATATTAAGTAAAACGCATACAAATAATACGTTTTACACTTCTAATAATTTGTACAGTCACCTTATACAATAAAAGAAAAATTAAGTAAAACGCATACAAATAATACGTTAAACGACTATGGAACTTATCGATGCTATGGGGGGACCAAGTACGATTAAGTACAAATTATCCCTATCCGATGTGGTGTATTTGATTTGGCTTTGCTCGAACAGTCCCCCCATGCAAAAATTGATGTATTTGGAGCCAATATATATAATTGACAATGGTGGGATCTCTATCATTTAGAATATTTCTAAACAAAAAAAAAAAATATTATTATTATATGATTATTAATATAATGAATTTAGAGTTAAAAATAATATCCTTCTATTAATTTGGAGTATTAATAATTGAAGGTCCAATTTTTATAATTAATTGTTAACATTTTAGATTTTTTTTTTCATATTTTACCACAAAACTAAAGAAAAAATTAAAATTAAAAAATTAATTTTAAGAAAATTATTTAATTTTGATTTCAGACCAAAACTGAACCAAAATTAATAATTTTAAAATCGTCCTAGAGACGGTTTACAAGCAGTTTGATTTTAATTTTGATTTCATCGTGTTTTAAGAGCTATCTTTCTACTTTTTCTTTTTTTTTTTTTCTTTTTCATTTTTCCTCTTCTTCCTTCGCGATGGAACCCCTCGAGAAGAGTCAGGCAGTTCTTGATCATTGGGATGTACCAAATAAGTGATTACCTAAATATTTTTTAAAAAATTTAGACTCTAACTCTTTTTATAATTTTAATTGATTTTTTTAATTTTATAAATTGATAATTTATATTTTACTTTTCCATAACAATTATGGTCTTTATATTCCTTTCCAAATAAAAACTGATTAGTGTTTTCTCCACATGAAGCGACTGGGTTTTCATACGTGGAGCTCATACTATCAGTTTTAAAGACTATGTTAATTGAATTTAAATAGTAATTATGTGAAGATAATAATTATTATGAAAAATAAAATATAAGACATTAATTGATAAAATTTAAAAAATGTATATAATTATAAAAATATCAAAATTAAAAATTTTGTTTCATCCTTTGCGATAAGAAATCTCTGCATAATTTATAAGGAAAATAAATATTCTTATTATTTTTTTGGTAAAAGTGAATGCAATAAATAAGTCAACAATCCAAGAAAGACAGTCAAATCGGATTCGAATAAAATCACACCAAAGTACAAAGCTAAAATGGATTTGGTAGTTATTAACTGACAAATGCATGGATAAATATCTAAAATTAAAAGAAAAAGAAATTAAAAATAGAAATCGTGCAGAATTTTTTTATATTATTATATTAATTAATATACGTTATAATTCTGTTGTTTATTGCAGCTTCCAAGAACCCACCAAAAGTGAGGTTTCACTTAGCCAAAAATAATAACGTAATGAGATTCCTAGCAAAAGAAGACAACTCTTTCGTTCCGCTAAAAGTTTGGCTGGTTTTAAATTATGAATAAATATTTAATTTGGATTTTCTTTTAATATATTAAAATGGTGAGATGAAATGGGTCGCACGAGAAATTCTCCAATAAACTATATAGCAACAACTTGCTTATAAAGGAAAAAATTTATTTACACCAAATTCATGGCCTTATTTAGAAATCAAGTAAATTAAATTAAAAAATTTTTTTAAGTATTTTTATCATTTTCTTATTAAATGTATAATCAGAAATAATCCGGTCATAAAAATACAGAAATTCATTTATTTAATGCATTGGGTCTGGACGGGGTTGGTAAGTTTTTCCCGCCTATAAAAGCCAAACAATTGTTTAGAGAAAGGAATAAGAAAGAAAATGGACTACCAAATGGTGGGATTGACTGCTCTTACTAGTTTGCTATGGATTACGTGGGCAATAGTGATACTGATAACCCAGCGTCGCCGCCGTCACCTAAAGGAGAAAAGGCCATTGCCACCAGGGCCTAGACGGTGGCCGGTGGTAGGTAACATCTTTCAACTCGGTCATCGGTCTCCACACGAGTCATTTACCGAGTTGGCTCTCACCCATGGTCCAATCATGACACTCTGGCTCGGCTCCATGTGCACCATTGTCGTTTCATCAGACAAGATGGCACGTGAAATGTTCAAGAACCACGATGCGGTTCTCGCCGGAAGGAAAATCTATGAGGCGATGAAAGGAAATCATGGACATGATGGATCCATGATCACATCACAATACGGACCACATTGGCGTATGCTTCGCCGGCTAGCCACCACTGAGTTCTTTGTAACCAGTCGGCTAGACGCTATGCGTACTGTTCGATGTAGATGCATAGATGAGTTGATTAAGTTTATAGAAGAAGCATGTGGAAATGGAAAAAATGCCGTTGATGTTGGAAGATTCTTTTTCTTGATGGCTTTTAACCTAATAGGGAATTTAATGTTTTCTAAAGATTTATTGGACCCAAAATCAGAAACAGGGGCTACGTTCTTTTACCATGCAGGAAAAGTTATGGAGATGGCTGGGAAGCCGAATATAGCAGATTTTTTTCCATTTTTTAGATGGCTTGACCCACAAGGTATAAGGAGGAATACACAGTTTCATGTGGAAAAGGCTTTTGAAATCGCAGGAGGGTTTATTGAGGAAAGAATGGAGAGTATAAAGAAAGAAAACAGTAAGGAAGACAAGAAGAAAGATTTTCTAGATGTGCTTTTGGAGTTTCGTGGTGATGGTGTGGAAGAGCCGTCTAGGTTTTCCTCTAGAATCATTAATGTTATTGTCTTCGTAAGTTTATCATTCTTTTTTTATCTCCTTTCAATTTCATTTCTTTTAAATATCTTAACAAAAGAAGTAACGTATAAAAAGTAAAATTAAGCTTAAAATTTTATACTTTGATAGGAGATGTTCACAGCAGGAACAGACACCACAACAAGCACTTTAGAATGGGCAATGGCAGAGCTACTACATAATCCAGAAACATTAAAGAAAGTTCAAGAAGAGCTAAGAAGCAAAATAAGCGCTAGCAAGAAGCTAGAGGAGAAAGACATTGAGAATCTTCCTTACTTAAAGGCAGTGATTAAGGAAACACTACGGCTTCATCCACCTCTTCCTTTCCTAGTCCCTCACAAGGCTATGGACTCATGCAAAATGTTGGGTTACCATATCCCTAAAGAAACCCAAATTCTAGTAAATGTTTGGGCTATAGGAAGAGACCCAAAAATATGGAATGATCCCTTAAAGTTTAGGCCAGAGAGATTCTTCGAGCCTAACATGGTGGATTACAGGGGTCATAATTTTGAGTTTATACCCTTTGGTTCTGGTCGTAGAATGTGCCCTGCTATGCCTCTTGCTTCTCGTGTACTGCCCTTCACGTTAGGGTCACTTCTACTTTCATTCGATTGGGTCTTGCCTAATGAGCTTAAACCTAATGCCATAGACATGAGTGAAAGAATGGGGATAACACTAAGGAAATCTATTCCCTTGAAAGCTATACCAATTCCTCTCAAGAGGTGTTGCGTTGATTAAAGTTCTTCTACTGCCTTTAAAATATGAATCGTTACTTGCTACCCTACTGTGTAATTTAAATCTTTATTCAATAATGTTATGTGTATAGTATGAAGATAAATGTATTATATGCTTTGAGTTTCCTCACCTTAAAAGGGGAGTCTTTTCTTTTTCATTTTTTCTTTTTATGTTAGTTGATAAAAGTTGCAAATTTTTGTTTTTTGGTTAGCCTTCTCATTCTTTTCACGGGTATGAAAAGTAAAAGGTATCAAATTTGATTTCTTAATGAAAAAGAGCAAAACCTATTAATCTAAAACTAAAAAATAATTATTATCTCAAACTAAAAAAAAAGAAGATAAATGAATAAGATAAGAGCTATTATGATTTAAGAAAATTGAATAAAATATTTTCAAAAAAAAAAAAGAAAATTGAATAAAAAATTATAAAATTGATGGAAACTTGAAAGAAATATTTGGTGATTGGGAAAGTTGAAAAAAAAAGGAGTAGCTACGATTTGATCCCTGGATTTTGGTTAATTACACTATTAAAGACCTCATTTTCAAAATTTAATTTATAGTATTTATATTATGATGTATCTCTTACACTGTAATATGCAATGATAATAGTACACAAAAAAAAAAAAAAAAAAAAAGGCACTTTTGTTAATTACACTATTCAAAGACCCTCATTTTCCAAAATTTAATTATGAGTAATTCTATATTAATGATTGTAATCTCTTACACTGTAATATGCAATGATAAAAGTAACAGCAAAAAAAAAAAAAAAAAAAAAAAAAAAAAAAAGCATATAATAAGCAATAGCCCATGGGCTATCTATATAACTAAATTGGGCAGAGCTACCAAATAAACAATACAAAATCGACTCATAAGGCTTTGCTTGGAGCCATTGGGTGCAATATGTCTCTGAAAATAGGCTGCTGGAAGCCATTATGGCCAAAGATTGGCCCATTTTAATAAAATGGTTGCTTTTCATTTAGGGCTAAGGTTGATTTGTTGGGTTCAAGCTCTTGTATGCCTTGTGTATAAATTATCCTGCTCAAATTAGCTTGCCAAACAGATAACATTCAGTTCCCCCCCAATATTATTGACCCTACCGAATAATCCCATTTTAGGGCCTGGTAGATGAAATTAGCTGCTGTGGTAATTATTAACTGTTTTAGTAACGTATTTAATTGTTTGAATGACTTTACTTTTCAAAAAAATTGCTACGTTAAAAGCTAAACGTTATAAGAGTTAATCATCTGTAATACGCTTTTAAAATATTATGTTACTGAATATTATCAAAAAATAATATTTAGAGCTAGCTACTTAAAAACCGTGGAACCCTCTTAACCATAACTCCTTCCCACCATATCTAGGAGACCATATAACTGATTCAGTCTCAATTTAACTTAATTATTGATATAAGTATCATTCAGTTTCAATTACAATAGAACTACATATGGATCCACCACATTCTTACTCAACATCCTTTTATATTGAGATTGGATACCGTGTCACAGGTAAATTCCAAACCAAAATTGAGAGAATTTTAGGTTAGTCTTGTAACAGCCTAGCCCTAGTGTGATATTGTCCGCTTTGGGTGTCAAACCTGGCCTGAACCCTCACGGTTTTGTTTCTGGGCCAGGGAAACCTCCGCTCTAACGCCTCCCAAACGGTTTTGTTTTCTTTGGGCCAGGGAAACCTCCCGCTCTGCCATAGCCCAAAACGCGTCAACACTAGTTCAAGGTTACCGACCCTTTATGTATAGGATTTCCACCTTGTGCGTAGCCGATGTGGGATTCGCCAGGTGTTGGCGCCCAAACCTGAGATGTCCACATAGCACCCCCCTTAGGGACTCAGCGTCCTCGCTGGAGGTTTGGCTCCACCACCGGCGAGAGGAACCCCTTAGGGACTCAGCGTCTCTAGTGAGGTTTGCCCCACATCCGCCAGAGGGGGACCAAACCTGGCTCTGATACAAATTGTAACACGCCCAGCCCTAGTGTGATTTCGTCCGCTTTGGGTGCCGAAACCTGGCCTGAACCCTCAGGGTTTTGTTTCTGGGCCAGGGAAACCTCCGCTCTGCCAGCTCCAAACGCGTCAACACTAGTTTTCAAGATTGCCACCCTTTATGTATATCGACGGATTTCCACCTTGGTGCGTAGCCGATGTGGAAATTCCGCCTAAGGTGTTGTGCCCCAAACCGCAAGAGATTGTCACAAGTCTCGGTTCCCAACAAATTGAATCCAGCTAAACACTAGTTCAAGATTGCCACCCTTTATGTATAGGATTTCCACCTTGTGCGTAGCCGATGTGAAATTCGCCTAAGGTGTTGTGCCCCAAACCAGAGATGTCACAAGTCTCGGTTCCAAACAAATTGAATCCAGCTAATGCAAGTGATGCTTAGCCTAGTAGCAAGGGTAATGCTCTTGGACCTCTTGATTTCAGGTTCAATTTTTGACGTTGTAACATTTAATTTATTTCTTTTGCAGTGAGTTGTCATGCTCTGAATGAGTTTTGTAATAAATTGTACTGTCCTTAACGGATTTTCAAATTATTGTAAGTGCTGCCGATGGTGCAAAATACAAAAGTTTATTATATAATATCGAATGGCAAAAATAAAAAAAGAAACCAGTTAATTTTAATAAAAAATTTAAAATTACAATTGTTGATCAACTAAATTCTATTGATAATTATTTTATTATTTTTAATAATTTTTACTTACATAAAATTAAAATTTAGAAAGTATAGTTTTTTTTTTTGTTAATAAAATTTTATAAAAATAATTTAAAGCGAAATACAAAACAAAATCAAATGAATCGCAGACTAACAAACATCCGTGCAGGTTTTAACAGCTAATTCGACCCTTCTGCCAAGAAGCCGATTTTACCCTTTCATATATTATTATTATAAGCGCGGAATAAAATCTGTAACAAGCAGATAAAGCAAGCACAGAACAGAATATAGGTACGTAGAGGTAGAGTCGGAGACAAACGCAGAATCAATCGCCGGAATATTCCATTTACTTTTCAGGTCAGACTTATCTCACCTTCAATTCCATTTCATTTCGCTTTCTCGTATAATCTTCGAATTTCTTCTTCTTCTTCTTCATAGAACAATTTTTGAAGCAACTTAAAGTGAGCTCAAGAGTTGAATTATTGGTTGATCATAGTTCTGATTTGTTTACCTTTTATTTATCTTTTAATTTTCTTTGCAACCAATCACGACATTAGCAATTTTCCTGGAATTCTGATTTATGAAAAATAGGTTAAATAAGAACTGTTTGCTACATTTGCAGGGGAAAAAGGAATTATTTAATTTTTAGATATATATAAAACAATCTTTTTGATTGTGAGTGGTGATGCCGTACCTTGTCCGGGAGAATCTATTCATCGGCAATATTAGCGACGCGGCAGAGATTCTCCAAAAAGGCAGTGATGAGATCACTCATATTTTATCAGTCTTGAGTTCTCCATCAATATCATTTTTTGCTGAATGGCGAAGTGGTCTTACTATTCCCGCTAAGGAGATTAAGAAGGTATATGTTGATAGGTCTGATGGGTTGAAGAGTTGTTTGTTGCCTGACAAGCTTTTATATTCGTTGGAGTACGCGGGAAAGGATTTGAAGCTGGTGAGGATGACAGTGCCAATTAGAGATATGGAGAGTGAGAATTTGTTGGATTATTTGGACCTGTGTTTGGATTTCATTGATCAGAGTAGAAAAGAGGGGTCTGTTTTGGTTCATTGCTTTGCTGGTGTTTCAAGAAGGTAAATATAAATATTGTTTCTGTCCATATATTGTTCAATTGAATATCCATTTTCCATAGATGGCTTTCCATGGTGTTATTGTGCAAATTGGGTTAATTTTGGCACTAGATTCTATGTTTTTCAGTTGTCTTTTAATTTTTGTTTTTGCATCTTATGTCTGAGTGGTAGTCTCGATAGAACTTCTGCCTAGTTTCTGTGCTAGTACTGTTGAATCTTATGATATGGACAGTTTGATATAGAACAAAACAGAGAGAACCTAGAATAATTTCTCCTGCTTAGCGTATGAACAGTAACCTTCTTTCCGATATTCATTTTTGGAGCTTTCTACTAGCGTCAAAGTGCAAAACAGGCAAAAAAAAAAAAAAAAAAATCTACATAAAAATTCCTGATGGTATAGTTAAGGCAAAGAATAAGTTTATTAAGAAATCAGATTGTTTCTTGTGCTATAGCTCTCGATTTAGAGGAAGAATTTGGTGGCGGTGCTTGGTTCATTCCGGTTACATGGATTTGATGTACATTTGAGCCTCTGTATATGCCAATGGGAGAGATGATTTTCTTTTTGAAAGAAGTGATATCATTTGCAATTTGGAGGGAAGAAGGTTTAACCTGGCTATTTGAGTTTTCATGTGCAAATTTTATAACTTATTTTTACCTGGTTATTTTTTTTCTCAACTGATGTATGGCAGTAATTATCCATTAAAGGCCTACATTTTTTTTCCATTTCTCTCAATTGTCATGTCGTAAGTTTGTTTATTCCCTTCTTTGCATGTGTTCATTGCAGTGCAGCTATCATTACAGCATATTTGATGAGAACTGAACAACTATCTCAAGAAGGTTTGAACAAATCTATTTTTTATTTGAAGCATTTTGGGTCGGCAAATTGGTATATGTCCATTGCCTTTATTACTTGTACTCCGAAAGTTGGTGGTTTGTCTGTTTGATAACATCAAACATATCCAATGTCTTAGTTGTCGACTTATTTCTCCTTTTTCTCTTTCGCCTTTGCATTCCTGCAGATGCTCTTGAATCCCTAAAAGAAAGCTGTGAGTTTGTTTGCCCCAATGATGGATTTCTAGAACAGGTGATGCAAGGCAATTTAAAAATCTATATGATTCGCAGGACTGCATGGTGATTCTAAGGATTAGTCTCCAATATCTTTAGGCCATCATCACTTATAATTATTTCCTTGTCAATGCAGTTGAAAATGTTTGAGGAAATGGGCTTCAAGGTCGACCATGCAAGTCCCATATACAAGCGCTTTCGTCTGAAAGTATTGGGTAGACGTCCTTCTTCTCCTCCTGCCCTTCTTTTCCTCCTCCTCTAGGGCTAGCTTACAACATAGTTTCTGCTGATTGGATTTGACTGACTGTGTGAATGACAACATCCGTGAAGTATGAAAAGACATCCAAACTAATATTGAAAAAATGATTGTTGAAATTTTTAATCTAGTTGCAAATTTCATTTGGAACCAGAACTTTTCCAGATTTTCTTTGGTATTTTTTCTGGAAAGCAAAAACAACCCTTATTCTCCACAACCAAAAGTGCATTTCTTCTCTCATTCAGTAAGTGACGTTATTGTGGCCTGTGGATGCTACATTTTTTCAACAGATTGACTTACTTTAATATAAGCTGCCTGGAGACTTTGCTTCCTTTTGTGAAAACCCTGCTGTCCCCCCATCTATGGACATCTTTACATTAGAAAAATGCTTGATCTTTTTGTTTACTTATAAGTTAAACCCAACCATATGTCATCTGAAATTCACCTGAACTCAATGTCTAGGATTACTATTGATATTTTTCAATTCCTAACTTATGTGTGGATTTAGTAGTAAATGCATGTCTGTAGTCGCTTTGCATTTTTGTGAAGTACTTCTATCTGTGGAGGAATTTATTTCTCTTTACCAAGCCATGCAATGCATGTCCTTTGAGATATTAACAGGCCTGCTCAACTTAATTCTTATTTAGATTCTAGGGCATTCTTTAGCCGAAACTTAGAAGTCCCCTATCTAGAAATGCATGCTTTGCATCTGTTCCAAGAAGGGAAAAAGAAGAATGGTTACTTCATTACAATAGATATGCTATATGTACCAATTCATATTTTGGGTCTTGTTACTGTAAGAGACTAATTGGCATAACCATAAACCAGAAGATCATTAGGGAGTTTTTCTGTTTATTCAGGATTTCGGTACGGTGATTGGTTTTGTCATTCGCTATATGTACCAATTCATATTTTGGGTCTTGTTACTGTAAGAGACTAATTGGCATAACCATAAACCAGAAGATCATTAGGGAGTTTTTCTGTTTATTCAGGATTTCGGTACGGTGATTGGTTTTGTCATTCACTTTTAAGTATTTTGCAACCAGTGGCTGCTCTTAAAACTTTTTATCTTTTATACATGAGCTTAGTATACCAAAACTGATGCATTCGATGCTTTGCTTACTTGTGAATTAGGAACATTCCTTTTTTTTTTTTTTTGACAGTGAGTATTCTGGTAAATCTAAAGATTTGTAGTAATCTTGTATGTCTGTTATAACTGCTGCATCTCAGTCTCTTCAGTTTTTGCTACTACAAACATTTTGAATCATCACTGGTCACAAGAGTTTGAGTATCACTACTAACATGATTGTGCAATCAATGCTCTCAGGTGATTCTTATAACCGTGGAGAGAGGGTGGACAGTTCTAAATTTGGGGCTGATCCAGGCCTGCCAACCAATATTTCCTCTGAAGTGGAAGCATCCTCAAATGGTGGAAATAAGCACTCAACAGCATACCGCTGCAAGAAATGCCGAAGAGTTGTTGCATTACAGGAGAATGTGGTGGATCACATTCCAGGAGAGGGTGAGACATCCTTTTCATGGAACAAGCGGAGAAGTGGCAATCCCTTTAACAAATCTGATGAGCCTGAGTGTTCATCTATCTTTGTTGAGCCTCTACGGTGGATGACAGCAGGTACGTGCATGGATGCTACTCTGGATTTAATTGTAAGAGGTTAAACTATAGCACAAACTATAATCATAGTGACCATCTTCAACTCATTCCACTAGCTCATGAGGGGCCTCTTGCTTTCTTTTTTGTTTTTTTTACTCCACCTAACTATAGATTTATTTTTGGATAGCAGATGCTTAGTTGGAACAAGTAATTTCACCATCAGTTGAGATCTTATTTTGATAATACAGTCCATTTTTCTATGTTCTACTAAACAGTTCTAGTCATATGACAAGTCTTAGAGGATGAAAATTGATTGTCTTTCGGGTTAAGTTCGAATTTTGGGACCCACTGGGAAAAACTGTGAACAAATTATCATATGATATGTTGAAGTTGGGGAATTTGAATCATGACCCACAAAACCAACTTGGCTACTTTGGTAAAAGCTAATTGAATAAATACTTCGATTCCATCAAATATCAATATTTAGGACAAGGAATTAAAAGGGGAATAATTTGGTGTTGCTCTGCATACTAGACATGCAGTTTGCTGGAGCTTATTATGCGCATAAAGAAGTATGTGTTATGTGATTGAAAATCCAAAGAATGTAGATATACTGAAATTTTGGCAAGGTCGGTCCTTTATGCAAAGGAGTAACTGGCTGACATTTTTCTGTATTTGCCAAATACATGGCTCTTCCTCTGATAACCAATATCATCTGGAAATAATTATTGCGAGTCATAATCTTTGCTCTATTTCTTTGAAACTTGTAAATCCTAAATTTTACCTGCCGTTATTTTTATTCCCATGCTTGAAATAATGTAACTTTTGGTAACTCTTCCTTTTCCATCAGTTGAGGAAGGTGCGTTAGAGGGCAAGTTGTCATGCATTCATTGTGAATCTCGCTTGGGTTACTTCAATTGGTCTGGTATCCAATGCAGTTGTGGGAGTTGGATTACCCCAGCCTTTCAGATCCATAAGGGTCGAGTTGACATCAGCAGCGTCTAATATGCTTTGATCCATAAAGTACTGTGAACTTATTTCCAAGTGCAGAAATGCTCAAATTCTGAATAGAAAGGATACTGAGTCAGAATATTATGTCCTGACAATCTGCATCCACACAACAAAACTTTTGGAAAATTGGATCTGGTGATTTGTAACTCGAGGAGGTAAATGTCTTCTACTGGTAGTATGATCATGATATCATATATTGCTGGAGCAATTTGGTTGAATATATATAAATTTTTACTCTTAGGGTTTGTGCATTTATTTTTGGTTTCTAAACTGTCTTTTAAGAGATGGGTGGGAAGGGTTCAGCTTTTACTTTTAATATCATGCGTTGATGTACTTCAATTATCTTCCTTCATTGAGTGGCCCTTAGGGTTTTTTCATTATTTTATTTTTGCATCATCAGCAGTGTCTTGTTGCTCATTTGTTCTGTATCACTAACGTTATTTTATGTACTTGATGTGCACCTCTCCCAAGCAAAATAAAAATTTTTCAACAGCTAATGTAATTATTTTAGAAACTATCTTCACCTCTAATGGGATTATTTTAAGAATATACATAGAGATATTTGAAAGTGATAAGTACAGGAAAATAAATAATATAGTCATATTAAAATATTTATGAGACCCTACATTTTGGTATAATTAACTATTTTATCTTTTCATTTTAAGAATTAACTATAAAATATTATCTATTTTATCTTTTCAGTTTGGACATAAAGGATAATTTCGTTTAAGTTGTTAATGGGTCCAAACTACAAGTATAAAATAGTATAATTTTTAAAGTACAAGAACAAAATAGTTAATTAGACAAAAATGTAATTTTTCATTTTTAGCTCATATGTATATAAAGTTAGTCCTATAATTTTATCAGTAACAGTTTAAATCTCAAATAACGGATGAAAAGATAGTATAGAGAGGCGCTACAAAGATAAAATAATGTTTTTAAATAGAATGACAAAGTCAATAATATTTTTAAATAGAATGACAAAGTTAATAGAGACGCTGCAAAGATAAAATCATTTTTTTAAATATAAAGACAAAATAGAATATGTTTTTAAAATAGAATTGACAAAGTCAATAATATTTTTAAATAGAATGACAAAGTTAATAGAGAACCGCTTGGCAAAGATAAATCAATTTTTTTTTAAATATAAAGAACAATAGTTAATGATCATTTTTTTAAAATATAAAGACAAATAGTTTAATTATTGCTTAAAATAATTATTTATCAAATCCACCGAATTTCGGTTTTATACTTATGAAAGCAATATCAAAAATTGCATCCTGTAAAAACAGGGTGATATGAAAGAACATTAATAGCACTTGTTTCCCTTCACAATATGACAAATAACAAAAAACATGGTCAATAATATATGCTACATACATTTTTTTTTTACCTCGTCACTAAACTTGTAAGTGGGATCCACTGCCACGTAATTATCATTAGTTTTTAAATTTTGAAAATCTAACGATCAAGAACAAAAAGTGGCATATGAAATGAGCTTTTAATATCAGAATGAAGATCAAATTGCATAAAACGATCTGCATAATGAGAGAGAGAAATTAATGATTGCATTCCAAGGACAATTGTTTCTTCCATTAAGGCGTAGACAATGTTACAGGGTCCAAAGTCTTATGGGTATTGATGTTAAGAATAGTACTAAATTTTTTCGAAACTGACTCCTAACAGTCAAAATTAAACAAGGGCAAAAAAATAAAAAAGGAAAAATGCTTCCAACGATGACACGAGAAAACTTGGGGACCATTTGGCCTCGGTCACTGTATTGATTGCCATCTGTTTGATCACCACCTGTCCCAAAAAATTGATGGGGTTTCGTCTCCCACTCAGCAGTCCAATTTCAGTTTCAACAGCAATATTTAAGACTTACATGATCGGGTGAAGGATGTTGTTGCTCTGCTCAGGCGTTTATGTCATTTCTGGCCTGCACAAGTGCCTGGTCTGCTGCAAATCCTATCGAAAACCCATTTTGAACCAGTGTGGGCCAATGGATCGCTCTGGTGGGCTCCACAGAAGGAAACGCATTGCGAGCAGGAATAGTTTTTCTCTTGAAACAAAACACGAGATAAGTTGTTATGAATAAATTAATCCAATTATGTCCAAAAAGGTATTAGCCGCCATACGGAAATGAAAAAATGAAAAATGAAAAGAAATGTTTTATAATTAGCAGAAACTGCAGGTTCTAAGAGAAAATTTGCTTGCCTCAGAACATTTCCACAAAAAGAAGCAGAAGAACAGCAAGAAAAGAAGAAAAAGAAGACATATGAATTGACTGATCATCAAATTTATATCAATTCTATGATGAGTGCAATAATAAAAGGATTGTCCATGAATTCCTCAATCTAAGAGAGGTGCAATACAGAAAGGACATCACTTCTTTGGTTACCACTACTTTCAGGATCCAAAAGATATATTTGAATAACTTTGCTTTTGCTTCTGAGAAGTTCAAACATCATCACTAAATTACCGTTCACAATTTTAACTTAATAAATGTTAACAAGATCAAATGAAAATGGAACCCATTTATTTGCACGCAAATCCATTCAGGCACAAGCAGGGTAAAGAAGATTTCAGTCAAATATACTCCACTTGGCGGCCTGTGTAGGATGGCATACCTTCCACATATATTCCTTGTTGTGTTGATCACGTGGGCTTCCGTAGATGGCCCAAGAAAGCCGTGAGAAGAATAGTTAAATGAAACTTCCGGGAACTGTACACCCCGATGTAAAAGAAGATCAATTGAAGTTCACTTTAATAATGCTCTGTCAGCTGAAAACACCAATATAGGTAGATAAGTGACGCTTTAACAGTATGAATGTTTTACCTGAAAAATCCAGATAAAAACGAACGAACCAATGCATGCAGAAAACGTCAAAGAAATACAAAGCTTACATCCAACATATTGGAAATTTTATCTAGCAAGTGCTAATGAATATATATTTGGGGAATTAAGGTTCTATTACATCCATTCCAATTCAACTAACATAGAATTTTGGAATGAAAACCATATGGAATTCAATTTCAGGTAGAAATTGAATCCCATTTAAACAGAAAAAATTCATTTTGTAAATGAATTTTCATATTTGGAATTAACTATAGAATTAAAATTTAAATATGTAACTTTTACTGAGCTTGACTTAAAATTTAATAGCTTTTTAACTTGTATCCCAGTTAGCCTTAGAATTCATTCTGAAATTCTACCAAATTCTTGGTTAGAATTTCATTAAAACACAATAAATTCATAGAGTTAAAATGTAAAATTCTTTTAATGAATTTCCCATTTTATAACCCACAAAAAGGAATATGTGGCATTTGTAAATGAATTATTATTTATAATACAAGCAAGCTCTAAGTCTAACTAATGTTTAGAAGGCTTCAAATCAACATCCACTTTATTGTTTCTTCAATTTTGCCAGGGCGCACCAAGCTGCCAATTTTATTAAATTAATTGTCTATTTACTTTCATATTTACGTTAACATTTACCTTTTTCGCACTCCTGCTCTTTCAAACAATTTTCTTATTGCAAGATTTTTTTTTTTTGGGGTCACTTTATGGTAGAGTTAGCATATATAAATTCTATATGCAATTCCATCTAAATCGCACCTCAAAAATCTTTTCTTTCTTTCTTTTCCTTCTTCTTCTTCTCTCTCTCTTTTCTCTCTCTCTCTTCTCTTCTCTTTTTTTTTTTAAAATTTTTTAAATTCAAAGCACTGTTTAAAGAAGTTTTTCTCTCTCTCTCTCTCTCTCTCTCTCTCTCTTTTTTTTTTAAATTTTTTAAATCAACACTGTTAAAGAAGTTTCATCAATTCCCCCTCTTAACTAGTAATTCATGTACAAACCTAAGATTACCAGAAGAAGCTCTTCCAGAAAGAAAGGAATTCATTTATGGAATGCCAGAGTAAAGTTGCATACTATCATCTTCATTTATTGGCCGATGGTGTCAGAGATGCAGAAACAAGTAAGATTGATAAGAAAATCTCAATTATTTTTAATAACAAACAAAAAAAAAAAAGAGGTCAACTGGTAACCTTGGCCTTCCGGATGCCAAAGATATTCAAACGATACAGTGATCCAGCAAAAATACCACACATTCCTGGCAAGAGAGATCTTTTCCAAGATGATAAAAGAAGCTGAAAAAAAAAAAATGATTTAAGTCTTCTGAAGACAACAAAGCAAACAGCAACAATAAGAATCTAAATGTGTACAGATTGCAAAACAAAGATACAGATTGTACAGGAAAAAAATTACTATGTACCTGAATACCAGCTAGATATATGAAAGACTTATCAGAAAAGCGGACGCCGAAGACTCGAAACCGTGTTGATACAGGAATGTCAAAGAAAAAGGGTACAAATGAAGCAAATATAACACCATAAGGTCCAGATGTGAGTAGGTTCGGCGTGAGATCTACCACCAAAAAGAAATGTGAACATCTCATGCTTTTTCATAGAAGCAAGAGGAATATGAGAAAAACTAGTAACAATGGTAATAATTGTAGTTACATGTAAAAAGTACACTCCACTTAAGAGAAGAAACAAACTTGGGAACAAACTTGAACCAATATAAATAGTACAGTGATATAAGTGTAGATGCTAAAAATAATATTCTATACCCCAATTCTATAAAGGGTAAAATTTAAACCTTAGAATCTGCAAGCTAGAAGAAGTCACACGCATGCAGCCCAGATCATATCTCCAGCTCTCAGATTATCATAGCACTATTTCCTTAATATCCTAGATATCATAAAAAGATATCCCTTTGTCTATGCTCACTTCCCATCAACGCTTAAATTGCCAGGAAAGTTGGCATATTGGAAGTTCCCACTGTTATTCCCCCGAACAAGCTTAAGAATGAGTGGGTATCAGATTGAAACGGTAACGAACTTGTGCACTGCTCTGCTACCCTCACAAACCAGAAAATAAAAGAGAGAGAGGAACTAGGAGGGTGGAGTGCAGCAATTGTTTATATCAATCTTACGCGACCCAGGGGTTTGGTGCAATCACCTTACGTCATCTTATGGGCATTTATGGCTGAAAAAATTCTTTTCATGTGTGAGAAGCTGCAAAATTACACTTTTTACTAGGGGTGACTTGGTACACATTCTCAATGGTGCAAATTATTTGTTAGAGCAGTAAAAGTCACTTTCCTAGTTGCATATGTAGCCACTTTCCTAGTAGCATATGTTTCTATGTGTGTGGATGACATCTATCAGAACAAGACAACCACAAGCCGATGACAACAGCAACAAGGAAGCTAATTGAGTAGTATGAGGATACTAGTTCTCATACAGAACTGATTTACCCCTAAATATTACAAAGCCATTGAGATCAAAACAACCTCATGGCTCACTAGTTCATGCTAAATTAAAGTTAACATAAAATAGGCTTATAAATATTAATTAGTCATTTCTAATATTAGGTATTCAAGATTTTTTACTACCAATCAAGTTGAAAAGTTTTAAGCGTTAAGATATTTGAGTAATTAACATGTTGACTGTCTCTTGTGCTAGACTTCAAGTATTATTCCAGCTTCAGAAAGGAGGACGTTTAGAATCCACAATTATGAAATTGCATTTTCTTATCCAGCATTAGCGATTGAGCATTATGATTTGGACTAGACCAGACCCTTCACAAGCAGGTGATTCAGATAACTATTGAACACAATTCAATCTAATGATTTGTTTCACAAAGGAGACAGAATAACCAAGGCAGTCACCTGATTTTTATGATGTTAACGCGTGATCCCTTCCGTCGTATATTAGGTCAGGCCTCTTTAACTTTTTCCCATTTCCCACAAAATTGGCATATCCCAAGTACTAACCATCACTGACCCAAGCATGTCTTGGAGACAGCCTATTTGAAATTATTATTCTTCTTTTAGTAGTGGGAGACCTATTTAAGTAGTTTTCTGTTTTTGTAGGGCTAACAAGCAATTTTCTATTTTAATTTTCTATTCCTCCACAGTATGGAGTTTTTAGACAAGTATCTGGGCATGAGAGCCAAGGACTCTGAATTAGGGAAGTCATACATGTCGTCCTTGCCTAATTGAATTTTTAACCACCATATAGATATAGATTAATTGTGATGAAAATTTCTCACTTTTAATGAAAAGTTTGCAAATATTCAACAGCATAACTTGGTGATCGGGAGAAATAGAGTGGCAATTTTTGATATATGAGACATCACAAAGCTATTAATGGGAGCAGGTCTAGAAGAAAGAATTGCATAACTTGAAACTATAAATATAGTACATACCTCTAAGGAGTCCTAGAGCAAGGACCTCAAAGAGTAATGAAATCACAATAGAGAAAAAAATGAAGACCTGCACAATTGAGGCAGGTATTTGATGTTAAAAGCAAAAATAGAGATATGAAGAAAGAAAGAAAGTCTAAATTACTTCATTCATTTGATTCACAAAAGAAAAACATTTTTATTTTGGTTTATTTGATCCTTGATTGGCAGGCGATTGCAAAAGAAAAAAACTAAATCATAGATAAAAAGAAAAGGATTGGAAAATTATAGTAAAGAATAAAGAATAACAAAAATTGTGATCAATAAAATAAATAAAAAATGATATTAACCGAAACTGTGTTTTTGAATTGTATTAATATTTCCTAAATGACAATTAGAATGCATAAAAAATTAAAAACACATGCAGATTCTCCAGGAAAGAAAACATCATTGTTAACCCCAACAACTTGTAGTTCATGAAAGTATCACAAGTGCGAGACCCAAAAACCCAAAGATATGATGACTCGTTTAGCTGGATAATAACTCACCGAGTATTTATTCGAACCTATCTGTCTTTCAAAGACCCTGAAGTAGTATAAAAGATACAGCCCAAACAGAAGCTCTGGAGTAGATGAGAAGGCAAAAACTGAAGCCAGAAGCTTCCAAATACGGAGCTTCCAGAAAATATCCTGCAATGAAGGGAAACTAAATTTAGAAAGCCATATCCTAGTTTTTCAATTTGAGGAGTACAACGTCTCTAGAGCACAAAAACTAAGCATTTTCAAGCCAAATTCACCAATATTTGGTATATTCTAGTGTTCAAGGAGAGGTCAAGACAAATGAGTGCCATTCTATACTATTTCTCACATAATCAGCTCCTTTAAGATGAAATCAGTTTCTAAAGAGTAATTGCGACAGATTATAATTCCCTGGGGCTAAACAATGCATCTATAAAAATTTAATTTTGCAATTCAAGGCCAAGCATCTGTCTATTATTGCAGAAAACTTTGCATTGCTTATCCCAATTTCTAGGCATATCTTGCACTTCACAAAGTACAGTAGTTTCTAAAGTTTTGCTTTTTCTAAGCAGAAGTTGGAATGAAGAATCCATTTTCCTTTATTTCCCCTACATCATGGCTGTAAAACTAATTATACTGCCCATTAAGATAAAGGGGGGGAAAAAGAAAAACAAAGGTTGATGCAAGATGCTGTAACATTCTTATACAACAAGCTTAAGTTCAAGGTAACTAATTCAATTAAGCATGGCATAAATATAATATAACCTATATGGGTGCAATTTTATTAATTAATTTTGATTCAAGAACTCTGTGCAGAGTCAGTAGTCCCATGAATGTGGATAGCATTTAAAGTAGGAGTATATCTATTGTATATCATAATAATTATTCCGCAAGAGAATATCAGTTCCACCTAACCTTGGATAAAATTTAAAGTAGGAGTAAATCTATTGTATATCATACTAATAATTCAACAAGAGAATATTGCTATGCTTGGATAGGTGAGATAGCTGGCATTGATTAGCATTTCTTTAAACATTAATCGTAAGATCAATTGCTAATATTTGAGGACCTTTACATGTAATTTGTCAAAAATGAGACAATTCCCATCATGTATGTAATAGGAAAAAATATTGTTTATAATTACTGTAGATTGCATATTAGCAGCTATCAAATGCTTATTGCATAAAAACACCTACAAAATGCCTAAGAGCATATTCAGAAGGATGTTGCATTTTTCCAATAAAATGTTTATTGTCCCAGCAAAAATGAAGCATAAAAGATAAACAGCACAAGGAACAATTTATGATTCAGACCATCAGCAAATATAAAAAGAAGAGATGGAAGTAGAAGAAAAACCTAAAGTTTTAAGGATTCTCTCTCTAATATGCGCTGGCTGCACACCAGACATGAGAGGCACAAAGCGCCTTCAATCTGACAGTTTTGGAAGCTCCACGCGATCATCCAAGAATCCACAAATAGAAAAACAGCTAGTTACCACTTACCAGTATTCTCAAGTGGTTTTGCAATGAAGTGGAAGTTTCTCAAGCCTCAAGCCTATCTTATCATACACCAATAACCAATTTCTACAACCAAGACATATAATACACCAATAACCAATTTCTATAACCAAATTATTTACAATAAATATTTCAGTTGCAACTCCCATGAATGAAATTAGATGCATTCCCTCAAGCTCTACAAATTTCCTACTCCTGGTCAGTCTTGAATGCATGCAATTCCTCATCTACATCCATAACTTTTGATCGAGCATAGAAGACTTAAGAAAGCATGTCACAGATTCCAAACTCTAGTCTTGCACTGGCTTCAAGATTCTTCATATCAGATGACAACATGCTTCATAGCCACAAATAACTGGCTTAACAGTAACCTTCTAATCTCAAACCTCCTCTGATAATCTTCCTACAAGCCCTCCCTAATTACTTGTCGTCAAAGTCAATCCAAAACTTGTTTTATCTAAATTCACTCTTCTAAAAAATTAAATTCAAATTCACATTCCTACCCATTCCACGAATTCACACACTGATCTCAACCAGGGGATCCAAGTTGGTTAGACCATAAATAAGTTACATCCTCCAATTCTAAGTTTCTAACGTTTATTACTACTAACATCAAGCTTAAAGCTTTACAAAAAAATTAAATCAGTTAGTACAATAAAAACTAACAACTTAACAAAAATTTTGAAAATCCAGAAAAATTATAATCCTGAAACGAAGGGATCACTGCTCATATTCATAAGTAAAGCAAAAAAAAAAAAAAAAAAAAACTGTTTTATCTAAAATCACCTCCTTCTAAAAAATTTAAATTCAAATTCACATTCCTAACCCATTCCCCACGAAATTCACAACACTGGATCTCAACCAGGGGATGCCAAGTTGGGTTAGACCATAAATAGAGTTACATCCTCCAATTCTAAGTTCTAACGTTTATTACTAACTAACATCAAGCTTAAAGCTTTAACAAATTAAATCAGTTAGTCACAATAAAAACTAACAACTTAACAAAAATTTTTGAAAAATCCAGTTAAAAATTATAATCCTGAAAAAGCGAAGGGATCAATGCTCATAATTATAAGTAGAGCAAAAAAAAAAAAAAAAAAACGACATCAAGCACGTCTGATTAAGATAAACCAAGTTTGGGGGTAAAGCCCGCCCTTGTGATCCCTAAAGGAAGTGTTTAAAATGGCACAGGCGATAACGAATATTCTCGTCAGCTGGGGCGCATTGTGTCTGCCGGAACAAAAAAATTGCAAAAAAATTCAATTTCACATTGTTGTGCATATAAATACACAATCAAATCAAGAAAGGAGCAGAGAAGAAGAATCAAAAATGGATTAAATCAATATGAAACGCACTGAAAAAAAAAAAAAAAAAAAAAACGACATCAAGCACCTGATAAGATAACCCAAGTTTGGTAAAGCCGCCTTGGATCCCAAAGGAAAGTGTAAAAATGGCACAGGCGATAACGAATATTCTCGTCACTGGCGCATTGTCTGCGAACAAAAAATTGCAAATTCAATTCACATGTTGTGCATATATACACAATCAATCAAAAGGAGCAGAGAAGAAAGAATCAAAATGGATAAATCAATATGAAACGCACTGAAACCAGAGGGGCCGCCGTTCATCTTTCTCTCGTCTTCTAAATGAAGAAGGACCACGACCTTTCTTTTGCGCTCTTTTTCTTTTCACCAAATTCTCTGTTTCTGCTAATCTGTTTTTATTTTTCTTTTTTTCTTTTTTTCTTTTTCTTTTTCTCCTCTAAGTTTAATCAAATCGTTGGGTCACTTCGCTAGTGGCAACTGGTCGGTAAATTATTATTCACTCCCTCCAATATAGTAAAATGTACTAATCACTACTTATTTTTAAACAAATTAGCATATACTAATCACAATTTATATTTTTTAAAAGAAATTAATTTATAGCTTTCGATAATATAGTTCATTCCCACTGTGTGTGTACTTTAAAATTTTTTTTGGAGAAAATAATTTTTACAACATTCAAAAACTTGATTTTGAGGAAAATGTTATTTTTCCTATTTGTTTTTTGAATTTATTTTAATAATACTTATCACTCTAATTTATTATAGAATAGCAATTTTGGAAAATCATATACAAATGGGTAATGTTGTATAGATTTATTTGTTATAGTAAACTAATTCATATGTAATTTTCAATTAATATTTTTCATATATTTAATATGTCGCGCCTTGCAACTTATTAATTAGAGTTTAATTCTGAAGAAAAATTATAAAAATAATTATTTATTTGGATAATTCAAATTAGTTTGTGTTGTGATTTTCTGTTAGGCCTTTTGTTTCATTTCTCATGTTTTTATTTAATTCTTATGAGGAGGGTAGAGTTATAGTCATCGTAATGGATTCAATTGATCCACCTAAGCTGAAAAAATATATTTATAATATAGATTTAAATTGATAAAAAAAATACAAAAAAACAATATTAAATAAATAATCGCGTTGCAGCTCTAGGCAAGTTATGTATTGTGATACGGACGCAAACATGTGATTTTATGTAATTTTAAATTTATACGTTATTATTTATATGATTTTTTTTTATTTTTGACATCATCCCCTACTAAAAAAAAATCAATAATATTATTTTAAAAATTTTAACATCAACGCAATCACGTACGGTAGAACACACTGTAAGAAATTTACGACTCAACTAATCTCCATCTATCAATTTACAAAATATATTTGCAGCTGACCACTTGAAGTCAAAGATTCTATAAAATTCCCACGTTCCGACAACCAAGATACGACGTCGTTAAGTTCTATTAACCGACTACTTGAACGAGTGGTTGAAATCCAAAAATAACTCAGTTGCAGGAGCTGCTTGTAGTAATGGTTAGTTGTAAGTGGCCCCTTCTGAAAAAGGTCTTCCGTTTCATCTGATCGTGAAGTTTTGCCATTTATTCAAAGCTTGAAGACACTACCAATCTTGAAAACCCAATTTTACACTTCAAAGGTTTGTTTAGTTTGGCTACTCTTTTTCGCTTTCTGTTTTATTTTTATTTTTACAGTATATTTTTGTTCTTGAATATGATGCTTTCTGCTTCTAAGTTCACTTAATCTCTGTTTTCCACTTGATTGCTACAGATCACAATAAGGTATGTATATTTAGTCTGTATAAATGTTTGTAAAAGTTTCGACTTTTAGGGAATAAATTTCAGCTGCTTTGGTTTGTGGTGATAAGATGAGCTCATGAAGAGCTTAAAGATTGTTGCTTTTTTTTTTTTTTTTCCTTCATTGCAAAAGGTTATAAAATTCATAGTAACAAGGATGCATTATATGTAGAAAAACTAAATAAGAGTTAATGAGATAGAACATTACAAGTAGCATATTTTTTAAAATGGTGCTTTCATGGACAAAGGAGATCTAGTAATTGATCCGGGCTCTCACTTATATACCTAAACTTTGTCTGAGAACTACAAAATCTATGCTTAAACAATTTGTTAGTTTGTCTCCCTGTTTGTTGGCAGATTAATTATGCAGGGTGTAGTTGAATGGAGTGTTTTGAGCCCTTGGGTTTTATTTAGATAAATTAGATTCAAAACTTTTATTTAATAGTATCTTCTTCTATGCTTTCTCTGATTTAAATGAGTCATCAATTGAGTTAAGGTGGAATTAATCATTATCACAGAAAATGTACAAATGGAATTCAACGACCGGAAAACCAGGCTACTGCATTACTTTTCTTTATTCTTTGTAATGGTGCTACGAGGAAGAATCTGATTGTTTGGAACGTGCAAGAATGAAATTTTTCAAGATAGCTGTATCTTTGTTCCGAATGAAGAAATGGTCAGGTGGCATGGTGATTATAGGTCTTGCTGCGATCTTGGTTTTAAGTTATGGCCTAATGGGAACTCAGCCACAGAAAAAGCAGTCTGCTTATGATTTTTTCAGAAATCATCCTGCTAATGATTCTCATTCAAAGGACACTGGTCGCCTCAGTCCTTCTCATATGGACATAAAGAAAGCAACAAAATCATCAATAAGGCCACATTTTGTGAATGTTGAAGGACTTAATGATCTATATGCTTCAAACAATATTTCCAAGGAAGAGTCTAAGGCCTTGCTTGTGTGGAGTCAGATGCGTTTGCTATTATCTAGATCTGATGCTTTGCCTGAAACAGCCCAAGGGATTAAAGAGGCTTCCGTAGCATGGAAGGATTTATTATCCATGATCGAGGAAGACAAAACTATGAAGTCCAGCAAAATTGACAAACCAGAGGATAAAACTTGTCCTTATTCCCTAAGTACTATTAATAGGACAACATCAAGCAATGGAACAATTCTTGAGATCCCTTGTGGTCTAGTTGAAGATTCCTCAATCACTGTAGTTGGCATTCCTGATGGACATAATGGAAGCTTTCAAATTGCACTTGAAGGTTCCAAACTTTTGGAAGATCAAAACCCTCCTATTATCTTGCATTACAAAGTGAGACTACCTGGAGATAATATGACAGAAGAAGCATTTATTGTTCAGAATACATGGACTAATGAGCATGGTTGGGGCAAAGAGGAAAGATGCCATGCTCATGGATCTGCTCGCAACACAAAGCCAAAAGGTATAGATATCATTACAATTCAGTTATTTGCTATAATGCAGTAGTGGGGAAACAGTTCACGAGGTGAATTTGCACCAGTTTGACTCCCTCACTGTAATGGTGATTTACTAATCGGTTTGATGCATCTTACATCATTGTTTATTTGCATCTTAAATTGTTCATAATTGAAACTAGAATATTTAATTGAACATTTATCTCATGGTTATGTCCCTATGGGAGGGACAAGAATCACTTTGTTAGCTTAATACAAGAATCACTTTTTTTTTTCATTTTTTGGTCATTTTCTTTTCTCTTCTAATAGCTTAATACATGTATATATCTAAACCGTGCCTCTCTATGTTTATTGTTGCTGTGTACATTTTATTGCTGACTGAACTTGACTCATCAGAAAACTGCAGAGGATGGCATAATCTTTGTTTGAAGGACAATATTTTTACATTTCAAAATGTCTCAACCTTCTCTGTAGTTGCATTATACTTGAAATTTTATTTCTAATATTAGTCCATCTTGCAACTTAGTCCCCATGCCTACTTTCCTTTGTTGATTTTTCTGCATCATACAAATTTGAACAGATTTTTAAAATTAATAGTCTGACCTATTAGTTGACATCCAGTTGATGGACTTGTTCTTTGCAATGAACAAATTGTCAGAAGCACTGGGGAAGAAAATCTAAATACAAGTCATGCTAGTGGTGACGTATTAGCTAATGTTTCCCAAGGAGGTGCTCATGCAACTGCAAATTTCCCATTTGCTGAAGGGAATCCTTTCACTGCTACGTTGTGGGTTGGTTCAGAAGGATTCCATATGACTGTCAATGGAAGGCATGAAACGTCATTTGCCTTTAGGGAGGTAATTTATGAATTTGTCAACAATTACAAATTGGAATAAGAAGCTGGTTAACACTTTGAAAGGTATACCATTTTGATAAGAGGTCCTCCACCCAAACCTTGGGGGGGCTTTTTGGAAATGCAGAAACTTGAACCATGGGAAGTGAGCAGAGTCAAAGTGGATGGCGTTCTGGATGTCTTGTCATTATTAGCCAAAGAGCTACCTGTCTCTGAAGATCATGATTTAGTTGTCGATGTTGAGCTCCTTAAAGCCCCAGCAGTAAAAAGGAAAAGAATAGCAATGTTGGTTGGAGTTTTCTCCACTGGAAATAATTTTGAGCGTCGTATGGCTTTGAGGAGGTCTTGGATGCAGTATGAGGCCGTACGTTCAGGGGATGTAGCTGTCCGATTTTTTATTGGCCTTGTAAGTTACATAGTGATTGTCTTCCACGATCTTCTATGTATGTGCTACCAGGAAATGCTATTTAACTCTGCTACTTACCATTTGCCTTATTGAAAAATTGTTTGTTAATAAATTTGGTATTTTTCATGCCTGCAGCACAAGAACGGTCAAGTCAATTATGAGTTGTGGAAAGAAGCCCAAGCATACGGAGATGTGCAGTTGATGCCTTTTGTTGATTATTACAGTCTAATTAGTTTGAAAACTGTTGCAATCTGTATCATGGGGGTATAGACTATAGTAATATTTTAAACCATTTATTTAATTTTCCAAGCTATTTTAGATTGACTTTTTGATGACCCTTTTTCTTCTTTTAATCAATATGCAGACCAAAATTCTGCCTGCTAAATATATCATGAAAACAGATGATGATGCCTTTGTTAGGATTGATGAAGTTATTACCAGTCTCAAGGGAAAGGCATCTAGTAGCCTCTTGTATGGTCTTATATCCTTTGAATCATCACCCCATAGGGATAAGGAGAGCAAATGGTATATCAGTAATGAGGTAATCATAATCCCAGGACCCAGAATCATGACCATGTTGCACATTGGTTATTTGCTTTGTTGTGGTTTTACTTATTTATTGTTCACGCTAGCCTTGCATTTTACCATGATGAGTATTTCTTTGTGCAGGAATGGCCACATTCTTCATATCCACCATGGGCTCATGGCCCGGGATATATCATCTCTCGAGATATTGCAAAATTTATTGCCGAAGGTCACCGAAGAAGAGATCTCAAGGTAAGTATCATGTACTTACTGGGAAAAGCTCTCATATATTCAGTGGTAGGATCTCAATATAAGTATAAAAGTGGCTTTTTTGTTTATCTTATTTCTGTGCTTTTCTTTTTTCAGTTATTTAAATTAGAAGATGTCGCAATGGGCATATGGATTGAACAATTCAAGAACAGTGGTCAAAAAGTACAATACACAAGTGATGAGAGGTTTTACAATGCTGGATGTGAAGCAAATTATATTCTTGCTCATTACCAAAGCCCAAGGTTGGTGTTATGTCTTTGGGAGAAGTTGCAGAAAGAGCACCAACCTAATTGCTGTGAGTAAAGTAAATATACCCTAATTGAAAATTCAATGGTGAATTTCTTCTGAGACCACAGTGACAACTTCTAAGGTCTCTAAGAATCTATGTATTTGTTTTTTCCACAAATTTTGACTGGTTTTAGTTAGGATTGGCGCTGATGTTATTTTATCACCCACCATTTGTTTTTGTTTGCCATTATTCTCATTTGTATTGGCGGACGGAAATGGATTGATTTGTAAATTATGAGGAGTTTCTTGTTGATGTACTTTTACAGAGATAGGTGAAGGGTAATTTTCTTGCTACTTCAATATATAGTTACTAAAAGCAGACAACCAGTAAAATCAACTGTACATGGATCTGAAACTTTTAACTTTTCTTTTGGAATTACAATTCAGATCAGATAAATCATTTGAGCTCTTTAAAAGCCTTTACAAGGTTAACAAAATTATGAAGCCTACTGCCACCTTTCCAAAAAGCATTTCTTTTTAGTACTGCCAAGCTATGATATTCCTTAACTACAAAATCCTGAATCCTAATGTCAAATCTGTCTAGCAGCATTTTTGTGACTCTAAAACACTCTGCAATACAAGCCAAGACAGTAAAATATTTACAGGAGAAATAGATGGATAGAAAGTTTTTCGTCACACTATTCAAATACTTGGCTAGGCCAAAGCCTCCTCCAAGTTGAGATCTCTTCCTCCTTGTAAAGTTTTCTAATTCCTCCATAAAAGCCATCAACTTCATTTCCTTCTTCACGGTGCTTCTTCCTGTTTACAATGGTTTGTCTCCATCTCGAGCCAAGAGGGTATTGGTTAAACTCCAATACCACCATGTCTGCCAGCAAAACTCAAGTCAGAAATTTAGCAAGATATAATGCTATATCTTTGTTGTTAGATTGTGCTCGACCCAAATTTTGCCTCAAAATGCAACAGTTATGGGGATTTAAACCATGCAGTTCTGTATTTTAAAAATTCAGGGAGAAAAAAAACCTTTGTATTGAGAGGGAATAACATAATTTCTTACCATCACATTGACAATTGCAGAGGTTCGCATTCCCATCACATGGATCTATATGGCCAACAATAGCATACCACCAACCTGCTCATTTAGCCAAAATAACAAAAATCATCAGGGTCTTTACAAGAAACTTGAAGCCTAACCCTTCAATTGAAATGACAAAATATTTTCTATTGTTTGAAAAACACACCATAAGGAAATTCTTTGCTTCTTCTCCATTGAATCTCAATATGATCACCAGGTTTTAAGTCATCTAAACAGTCAGAAATGTGAAGATCATGAGCAGGAGTATCAACGGGTGATGCTCTTAGCCTATCCCAATGAATGCTCTCTTCTATCATTCGTCGTCCGTAGGGAGAGTACCTGTAATACAATATCAGCAAACGACTCGTGATCAGCTTTATAGATGAAATCAACCATAATAAAAAGATCAAGTTTTGCGCCAATTAAGTTCCCATCTAGAATTGAAATTTTCCCGGAAGCCATTTGCCTAATAGGCTACTTCTCCAGTGTCTGACTCATAATATAGGAGTTAAAGAGGTTAAAAATCCTGACAAGCCTTCCCCTTTATGAATTTCCAATGCATCAAAAATAAATGAAAACAAAATTGGCATTTCTCTAAATTTTGCAATTCTGAAATTATAAAATTCAAGTTCCACAAAAAGAGGGAGAAAGCAAAATCATGGTCAAGCTCAGCTTTTCCGCAATCTTACATAGAAACATATGCAGACAAGAAGCTTCACTGAAGAAAATTCATTAGATCACTTAAAAAAAGGAACTAATTTTTCTTTTATATACCTTGCCTGAAATGTGTTTGTCCGGGAATCATAACTTATTTTAGCATCATAACAAGACAGCAAAAACCCAACATGTCCATTCTGCAAAAAAAACACATAAACTGTCATGAATTTATCAGCTACAATTAATATTAACAAAAATAAAAATAAGGATCATAATCTGTATCGTACATAGCATTAGAGAACTGCGGAAATATTATTAAAAAACAATTAATCTACAACCAATTACCTCACGGTTATAGACCTGAGCTGGGAACCAAAATTTGCCTCTTTCAAGAGAGAGATACATAGCCATGATTGAATCAACTGGTAAGGACGTTCTTGGGTTGCTTTTAGTTTCAAATTTTGGTTTAATCCAAGTTTTTGGCCAAACAGCACCAAGAGATCCCAATAAGCCCTTTTGATTACTTTGATCCACAAGATTTAGCCTCTGTGTTGAAGCTATATGACATTGCCATTCCCTAAAGGCAGCATCACCAATTACTCTACCCCATTTTTGCCTCAAATGTTTCGTCCACAAATGATCACTTGTGCATTTGTCCCTTAAAGAGCTGCAAACTCCTGCCATACTACACAACTCAGCTGGTGAAAGTCTCTCGAGAATACTTTCCAAGGTTAATTCAGGCAAATCAAGAAGAGAAATTTTCTCTGCCTCAATATTTTCTTGCTCTTCGAAACCAAGATTCATTTTCTTCAGTGGCATTTTCATGGGCAATTTGCAGACACTAATTGCAAGCCTATCTTTATGAAATAAAGATACAAGAAAATTTAAAACTTTTTCCCAAAACAAAGGTGACAATAACAGCAATCTCCGCTCACTCTTCATTGGTGGGGGTGGCTTGAAAGAAAAGGATTTAAAGAAGAAAATAAAAGAAAACCCAAAAATCAAGAAGAAAAGCATTGGATGAGTAGAATTATCAAATGGGTTTGTTCAAAAACTAGAGCAAAAGCTAAAAGAGATGTAAAAAAGGGAAAAAAAAAGAGGGAGAGGAGCTATTGAATGTGATTCAATAGCAATGCAATAAATACATACAGAGGTATATATTTATATTTATATACTATAGTATAATATACGCAAAGTAAATATCTACATATTCTGTTTGAATCCACTAATGAAAAGTGAGACAGTTGCCAGTTGGGCAAAATTTAGGACATTTATTAAATGAGGGACACATGAAGACATGTCAACCGACAAGCTTTGATTGTTCATTGTTGGAAGTTACAACACCACAAAGAAAAGAGAAGAGACAGAGACATATAAAAGGTTGCTTCTTCAAGATTTATTTGCATATTATTAAGTTCTTGATTGGCATCTCTACACAGTGAATTCAACCAAATTGCAGTGCCAGTGGGGACAGCTGGCAGTTTAAGGATGGAAGATTTTGAGAGGGAAAAATAATAGAGAATAAAATCTAATCTAATAGTTATTGCTTATTTTATAATAAAATGATAAAAACCAAAAATCTTTAGAAGGGTATTAGTGTCCACACAAAAAGGGTGGAGATATACAGATGATGTGGTGGTTTAGCTTGGTCATTTCACAGAGTATTCTGAGTTTTTTTCGATCAATTGTCATTAATTTTATGTGCTAAAGGGAGGATTAGTCTTATTGCGTAATCCGCAGTATTATTTTAGTTCATTAGGCCTCCAATAAATATAAAAAAAAATTTTAAGATGAAATAAAACTAAAATATAAATTATTTGCGCATTCTTTGTTTTATATAGCATAATTAGTAATTAGCTTTTCTTGACATTTAAATAATAGTAGTGGATTATATGCATTCACCAATCATCAATCATGGACTAAAAGTGATTTTGATTGGCATAATTAAATGTGATTAGAGATTGAAAGAGAGACCCAAATGTGTCAAAATCTATGAATTTGAGAAAATAAGCAAAAGCCTATGGAAATGAAGTGGGATAAAAATACATGAATAGACAAGTTGGTAATGGACCACTCTTTTCTAGGTAAGAATTTGACCCTTTAAGACATTGTCAAAACTAAGTAACCTGCATTATGCCTTTTTATCCAAAAACATTGTATTTATGTATAAAAATGTCAAGAAAAATACCAAATCTTGTACAAAATATAAACCCTAAGCTTTTTATTTTTATTAGTGGATCGAAGACTAGGATAAAGTGAAAGTGGGTTGTCTATATATATCTCATTTAGAGTTTATGGTCATCTTTCTTTATTATATAATATTTTATAGATTAAACATTTTGATTCTAATTTTATAAATTCAAAGTGTAGTAGAAAGCTTATGGATAATGTGATTTGGCAGTAAACTATAAAAGCCTCAACTGCAAATTGGCCTAACTTCCACCAAACTCTCAACCGCCAGCCATCACCGCACAACCACGTAAATTACCAATGTCCAAAGAATATGAAATTTTATAGTTATTATTCGTAGAAAATGACTTTGGCTTTCTTTCTTTTTTCCCACGTTAATTTAATGTTGAACAACTTGTCGTAGTAATCAATTTTCACACGATTATCTTCCTGATTGCGTCAAAAACAAGCAATTCATGTCTAAATTAGAGATTTGTCCAAAAAAAATATATTTATAATTTAATTTTAATGTTCAAACTCATATTTATATTTAGGATTACGAGTATTTTCGAATCAGTTTATGAATATCAACATTTTTTAGATAATTGATGATTTCATTAATGATTAATAATAGTAATTGGATTGATTATTGATTAACCACAATTAATAATTTCGAATCAAATTAAATAATTTTAATTTATATTTTATAATAAAAAGTTTGTGACCTCGTCAAAATAATCCCATTTTAAAAAATATCGAGCAAGAAAACAATATATGAAGGTTTCAATGCCCTGCCATATTTTTTTTTTATCCTTCTAGTTTTAGGTATTGTGGCTATTTTAGCCTATTACTATCATTTTTGTAAGTATGGTGATATTTTTTAGGGTTTGATATGCATAGTGGAAGACATCTTACACAAATTATTTAGGGTACTAAAGAATGGTTCTTGTGCTTGACACGTTGTTTCCATTAATTAATTTATTTTTTGCATTGTATAAACCGATGGTATATTACTTTAGAAGTTATTATGCTTCTATTGTTTATTAAAAAAATGTAATTATAATAGAAATCACAGCGTAGCGGATCGAAAATTAAATTATTGCTAATTCTATCTCCACTTTAATATTTGTAAATTTATCAACGTTCGAACCTTTCTCTTAATATTAAAAAAATAAAATATAAATTTTAGATGCAAATCATTTAAAGAAGTTTTAACTTGGGTTGTTGAACCATAAATCAAACCGAAGGTGTAACCGTTTCTTAGTAGTTTCTTGTTAAGCTAATTTATAATAAATAAATAAATAATATTGGAGTTTCATCCCAACATGAGTGGCCACCAACTTCTCCAAACCCAATAATTGAATGGTTCAAAAGAGAGTTTTTATTTTTATTATTTTTTCATTTTTTCTTTTAATCATATCAACACTAACCTAATAAATTCCATAACAAATTATAAATTTTCAACGAATCATATTCCGTTAAACTTTTGTGTTTCTATGCTCTGAATAAACGATGATATTCAAGTAAATTAAGTTTTTTCAACAATAACGATTCTAGATTTTAAATTTTTAATCTTATAAATAAAGTTCGCCTAGAAATACAGTTTATTTTCACTTATTAAATTATCTGTTGATTAAGTTAGATATAATATTTCATAATTCAATTAATTGAATCAAAAATAGAAAATTATATCAAAATTTCTGTTTTTTTAAGGGAGAAAAATATAAAAATCAGATTGATTTTGATGTCCAAATCTTATGATTCACCAATAAATCACAAGATGAAGAAGCATCATAAGGTGATGTGAAGATTGCAAAATGGAATCCACAAAGGAAGAAGATTAAAGGAGGGCCAGAAAATAGAAGTGTCTCTTTAAGACAGTTAAGTGGAGCTTTTGCATCAATCAATGGGGTTTTGTTTTAGTGATCTTTACAAAAGTAAAAGATAGAAATATGGATATGTTTACATCTTTTTGCTTACCATCATCATATGTGCATTATGGGGAGCATAAAAACTTATTTTATAAAATTAATTAGCAATAATGCATAAAATGATCTTTTGAAGTTAATGTAGTTTATCAAAAAATTATTAATTAATTTTATCATAATTTTCAACTAGAATACTAATTTAGCTCATTTTTTTATTGGAATAAATGAACTGATTATATTACATCTTATAAAAAAAATTAGGTTGGTTTTTTTTTTTTTTTTTTTTTTTTTTTTTTTTTTTTTTTTTTTTTTTTTATCTGCTCACACGCTATTTGATGATTCAAAAAACTTAGTCAATTGGTTTCTGATAAAAAAAATTTGTAGACGTCAATTTGAAAGCATATCTAGGGTAATTATATATCGCAATAAATTATTTACATCGCAATAGTTCAAGAGAGAATATCTTTTTTCCTTATGGTATTATATTTGGATAATTATTTTTTTTGAGGGATTATATTTGACAATATATATGTTTCAGGATCAAAAGAAATTTTTTATAGTTTATCTTCTTTTTAATGTGCAATAGTGGGAGATTTCGGAATCGAATTCTTCTTGATTCAAAGTTTCCATTTCCAATTAAAAGTTTGCTTTTTTTTTTTTTTTTTTTTTTTTTTTTTTTTTTTTTTATCTGCCTCACACGCATTGATGATCAAAAAAATAGTCAAATTGGTTTTCTGATAAAAAAATTTATGTTAGAGTCAATTTGAAAGCATAATTCTAGGTAAATTATATATCGCAAATAAATTATACATCGCAAATAAGTTCAAGAGAGAATATCATTTTTTCCTTATGTTATTATATTTGGATATATAATTTTTTTTTGAGAGAATTATATTTGAATATATATGTTTCAGGAATCAAAAGACAATTTTTATAGTTAATCTTCTTTTTAATGTGCAAAGTGGGAGATTTCGAATTCGAATTCTCTTGATCTCAAGAATTTTCCAATTCCATTAAAAGTTTGCAAAGTTAATTATTTGGTTGTTATCCCCAAAATCTTTCAAAATTTCCTTTTTTTCATTCTAAATATTCAGATTTTATGTTTCGCCATTACTGTTAATTATCTAATTAGTAAAATAATCTCGTCCTTATATATAAAATGGTATAAATTAAATAGAAGTTTTATTTATAATATTGCATAGGCAGGCTGCTTCACTAATTATATTTTATATATTGTTGGTTTTGATTTGGTTGAGTAAGCCGCCATGCATGCATATTACATCACCATCGGTTCCTTATCACACACCCACATCAAAATCGTTCTCTTCAAGGCTGCAAAATACCAAACTTATTCTTGCAAGTTGTTGGACCTAAATTACATCGATAGAATAATATTCTTTATTTTCTTCTTACTACTACCATGAAAGAGTATAATTTTATTTTATATTTCATCCATACCGAGTGTTTAAGCGGAATAGTATTTAAGTAAAACTCTTTTAAATAGTAGCATTCAACCTTGCTAAAAGGCTCGCTCCCAAACATTTAAGAGAATTTCATACATATAACTCAAATTCAAGATCTTTGATTTTTAAGGGAATTTCATTTACATGACTCGAAAGTTAAAGATCTTTGATTAAGAGAAAAAACTCCTTGCCGCTGAATGTCTATTTTAGTATACATTATGATAACAATATCAACGCTAGGTTCAGCTTATGAAAGATCCCACATAATAAATTGTGAGAATGAAAATAAATACAAGTTTACTAGATTCTAAACAAATTAAGATCGTTGCAGATTGACTGTAAATACATACAAGTTGCCTTCTAATGGCAACTATAACTAATAGAAAATGATGAGTGAAGGTAAATAAATCGTAAAAGGAGTTAAACTAAATACAGAACTCAATAAAAATCATCAATTTCATTTGCTATACCAGCATTTGATTTCCTAGGCTAGACTTTCCACACAAAACGTACTCCATATACAGAAAAACTAGTTAAATTTCTATTTTATTTCTCAAAGAACTATTTTATAAAAAGAAAATTTTGAAAAACCCTCGAAGTCTGCAAAAAACCAAAATAATTTACATGGTAAAAAGACAAAAACTCCATAAAAGAAATTACACAACGAAGTTCCAAAAATTAAACCTCCAGACTTTCTTAACCCACCAATAAAAAGAATAGCCTGGGCCCATTTTCCATGGTTGAGTTAAGCAGAATATGATAACTCCCTAGAATTATGGACAAAAGACAGGTTCAGAGTCCAAATGCACACCATTTTGCAAAACTCTGAGATGTCTAATAACAAATAGCATATATTCTCCTCAATAACATTACAAAAGTAAGCCATGACAATCATGATTCTCGCAAAAGAGCACAATAAAATGTAACAGAACATTTCTTTGTGACCGCAAAATGATTGTAAACAGGCTCTCAAAGGCCTAATCCAACAGTGCGACCATCTCTTCGTCGCAGACCAGCAGTGTATTGCTTCTCTAAATCCATCTGGACTTCCTTCTGCTTCTCTGCCTGCAATCGACCAGTGCCATCTTCGGTCTCGGGCTTGTTTTCCACCGTCACTTCGCCCTTCACACCCTACAATTGGCCATAGGTACCAAGGCAACCTCAGACTCTAAAACTGTGTTAGTATGTGAACTAACTGAGAGGAACAGTTCATGTACAATCACGAAATAACGGGTTCTCTTTGATATTTCATTTTCAAGTAATTTTGCAACAGAATGAGTTATAAGAGAAGAAGAAAGAAAGAACCAAGGAAAAGGAAACAAGATTTACCATGAGTTTGTTGAACTTTTCTTGTCTGTCACGATCACCAAAGAGTGAGGTATCCCACCGGTGACCAGGCTGTAGAGGCCGAATTAAACATTTATTTAGAAGCAGAGCCAATGTTTGTGGTATTAAAGGATTCACAGGATAAAGTATAACTGAAGAAAGGATCAGAACTACCTCTTCTGAAGTTGTGCTCTTTTTATTCCCCCAAAGCAGCTTCTTCTTCTGCTCAGTTGACATAAAACCCACCCCAGCAAGGTTCTTGTTAACTGAATCATGCATAGAGAACGTTCCATTGAGAAGAAGTTTAGGTAGAGGATTATTACTAGTTACTACATGTCATGTAAACATCTACAATATTATTGAAGTTCAACTCCAAATATGACTGTCAATTTGTCCCCATAGATTTGGAAGCAATATTATCAAATGCACTACAATATGTGCCAGAGGACTGTCAGGTGTTAGCAGCTTACTGAACATTTCTAATCTGCGTAAATATCATCCAACTAGTTTTCTGAGCATGAACAAAGGTTGCAGAGGTGAAACAAAAAACAATGGGAATAACATCAGAAGAGCTTATAAGAATCTGTGCATTTCTCAGAATGAGCAACTGCAATATTTTAAATCAGTTCTCTGCTACCATATTCATCCTCACCAACATCATTTAAAAGAAACTAACTCAGAACAAAATTAAGAGAGAGAAAAACTTGGCTCTGGGCTTTCTTTTAGTGTTTTCTTGATGTCCATCCTGTGTAGCGTTATCATGACTATATACATGTCCACATAAACAAATTCATTATCAAATTAGTTGCTAACATTCACATAAACGATAAGCCCACCCCATTTGTTCCCCTTATCATGAATCAATGCCCAAACAGACCAAATTTACAAATTCCAGGATAGGATGGATTTGAAACTCCAATGCCCTCTAATATGGGGCAAGAGCATTCAAAGACCGAGTCTCCAAACACTTATTTAAAAAGGAATCGTGTGCTGCAGTGCAATATATTTTTGTAAACTAAAAATAACCAAAGCCAAGTTCCTAATTTACTTTATAAGAGAATTCACTTCCAATGGCTGTCTCATCTTTCACAGCATAAAAGTCCATGCCAAGTCACATTGACTACTGGCTTCAAAATTATAAAGGGCAGCAACCTAACATTACTAACGTGTGCTAAATGACACTATAGAAAGTTGGAGCCTGGTGTTATGAACAGGCCAACTATGAAATAAACACTTCACCTGCATAGGACAAATTCTAGCCATCTGGAACTTTAAATATTAAATATCCTTAATTGAAGAAAGACAGAACAGGCAACCCTAGATCACTTAAATTTCTGGCAGGATATGTTGCTCCTTGCTTGGATTAACAAAGACAGATACAATCTAAACGCTTTGAAGGTCATACAACATCAAGTGTAAGCATATATTTCAATTCCCCAGTTTTCAAGTGTTGATATAAACACTTGGCCGATTTCCCTTATCTTCCATAGGTGCAAAGGCAAAAAGAAATATATGCAAACATAAAGTAGAACATCATATTAGTTGCTCTAGTAAAAGATGCCAAATGCAGATGAAGGTATCAAGCACCTAATTCAGCAGCTCTCATCGCAGCAACCTTCGCTGCATTTAGGTCATTATTAGCCTCTGGGTTACTGGCGTGGACCTGTCCTACAGAGACTTTACCATCAACCTCCTGAGCTTGCTTGGAAGATTGCTTTTCATCAGCTACATTTGTAAAGGAATTCATAACTAACAGATTGAATTAAAAATTACTGTAAAATAACCAAGAGAAAAATACAGTAAAACACAGGAAATAACCAAATGATTACCATCCTTGCTGTAATCAGCATCTCTGTCAGAACTAAATAACTTTGGCTTTTTCAATAGAGTCTCTTGATTTTCACTTCCAAAAACAGGTTTAGCTTCATTCTGCTCCCGTGGGGCTCTGTTGGATTTATCCTTGTCCTTGTTAGTGTCCCAGTCATCATATTTCTTCTTTTCCTTTGGATCATTCAGTTCCCTTTTTTCATTTTTAGAAGATTCTCTATAGTGGTGTCTATCATGGTCCCTTCCAGAATCATTTCGATACCCCCTGGATTCTTCAAGGTCGATTGCATGATCACTTTTATTGTCCCTGGAATTCCTATGATAATCCCTTTTCTCATCTCGACCATCTCTGTCCCGTCTGTTCCAATCCCTATCCTTTTCCTCTGAAGTTGTGAGAGTATGTTTCCTACCAGATCCAGCTCTGCCAGGAGAGGATTCCTTATCTCTGTACTTCTGACCATCTAGGGATAAAGAGTCTTTAACCTTGCTTCTATGCCCTGAACTATCATTTTTATCATGAGAGTATTTGTCTAGATTTCGTTTATAATCTCTAGACCTACCACGTTCACTTTCTTCTCTGGCATGATCAGTAGCACCTCTTGATTCACGACCAGAATGGGATGACGACTGGTAATATCTCTCTTCATCATCAGCATGCTTCTCCTGTCTGCTGTACTCATAATGCCTAGAGTAACCATGGGAATTCCTAGATGAATATCGATCAGAATGTCTATATGACTCTTTGCCATACTGGCCACGACCAGAATCCTTGTCCAATTCTCTTTCATAATCTTTCCTTCTCTCTTGATGTTCAGAAAGTTTTGCAGGATCTCCCCTTGAAGAAAATGGACTAGTGCCACGTTCACCCTTAAGGCTCCCTGTGAAAACTCACCCAAAAAACCATAATCAAGTACCAAACAGGAAATAAAAAAAATGTTGAAAACCTTCAAGCTGGCTAAGGTCTTTAAGCTAATGTTCAGCCCCTTAAGTCCTTAACCCTTACTAGCATTCTTGTTCAGACAACAAAATTTTAAATATTACAGATGACTGACTACTAAAAAGTTTTAACCTAAGTGGAGAAAAAGGATATATATATTGCAACTCCAACTATATTGAAACAGAGGCTCAGTTAAGTTAAAACTCAAAAAATTAAACACCAATTCACACAAAAACAGAATCATCCCATAAAGTGAAAGTATTAGAGTAATTACATATGCCTAAAAGTCATAAAGTGAAATTAAACCAAATGCCAAGCATCAGACCACCAGAAAACATGTATAGATAGTAATCAAAATCAATGAAATCACCTTCAGAAGAAGATGAGCCACAAGCAGGAGAACGTCGTCGGTACTTCCTATTAGCCGCATGATTTGAAGGTTTACGGAATGCAGCTTTTGTCTCAGCATTGTCATTGTCCGGGGGTGGAGACTGCATCATGGAATCTATGAAGCCTAGCACCTGAAAGAGCAAGTATTTTATAATATATATCAAGTATTTGAAACAGCATCATAATTCAAATTCTCATTCCAGCCAACAAAAGTACACAATAGAATATGAAGCTGAGATACCTAAAGCATAATTAAGAGAAAATAAGTTAAACTTAACTAAGACTAAAAGCACAAACTGCAAATGGAAATTATATAGCTCAAAGAAAACTAGAACAAGAACTCAACGAGAAAGCACAATTTTAAGTTTTAATTATGTTTATTAGAGAAGAAAAAAAAATCAACAGAATCCGAAATCCAATTTCCGAACCAAACAGTAAAAGGGAATAGAAAAATAACTATAACAATCTATGATAAGAAGTTTTTGATGGATAAGTGAAAAGGCCAAAGACATTAAAGAAAAATGGAGAGAAAGAAAAAGAACCTGCAAGAGTAGCTTTTAGGATCGAATAGCGAGAAAGAGGATTAGGTCATGAACTGCAAATTCTAGGGTTTGTATTTGAGGTGATATTCGGTCTTCTTAAGATTTCTGTGTTCGCGAGACAAAGCTTTGGGTATTTTCTATTTGCGCTGAAAGGAAGAGATTTACCAAAATAGGGAGGGGCGGAGTGAAAATCAGAGATGGTTGGGTGCATGATCGGCTCGTTACGTGTTGCAAATTCATTGGTTCCATCTCTCATTTATCGTTGAATTACTATTTCATCCCTTAGGCTTTACAAGCTAAATTATACCCGCATTTCCTTGCGGGTTTTTGCTATTACTTTTTTTGTAAATATAAAATATATTTATAAAAAAATATAATATTTTTTCTCAAAAGATAATATAATATTTTTTAAGAAATAAATGGTAAGATTTCATTATTTAATTCCAATCAATGCAAACATATATTTTGAGGATAAATGTAAATATATTTTTACAGTTATTATTAGAAGAAAAATAGATAATCTTACTAGTAGTAAATATAATTTCATATTAAAGATTTTCATTTCACTATTTTCTCACTATAAAAATTGTTGAATTCATAGAAAAATGTTTATTTTTATGTTTTTAAGCTTTTGGACTTTTAACTATTAAGAAAATTTTTTAAATAATTTTAGAGATTCCTTATCAAAATACTATTCTGAATTTTACTTTTTCACTCTAAACTTTAGTATTGAGCATAAAAAATTTAAGGTTTTTAAAATGATTTTTTTGTAACTTGTATTGTTGTATGGTTGCAAATGTAACATAATAAAAAAAAAAACTATCAGTAACACATAATTATTTTTAATGGATAAAAAACTAACTAATTTTATCTTTGATTTTGAAAATTTATAGAATTGTAAATTTAATTTCTAATTAATAGTATTTCTCAATTTGAAAATACAAATAAAAGAAAAGTTTGGTTAGACATCCTCTGCTCAAATGATATATTGAGTATACATATTTTAAGACAAAGCAAGATATATTCATAATTTATAATATGGGAAATGACCTTTTAGTGCTATGATAGACTGTAGATATAAAAAATTAAAAAGAAAAAAAGAAAAATCAAATTAGCTCTTGTGGGAAAAATTTATCAGAGTATTGTTTTGGAATAATAACTTTAGAGTACATTTTACTATATAATAAACATTAAAAAAATCATTGAATTTGAAGTTACTATCTAGTATTGGTAGAATTCTGGAAATTGATTTTTTTTTTTTTTTTTTTTTTAGTGATTGCGAGACTGCCATCACATGCGTTATGCATGAGGTGAAGCTGAGGCACTGTTGCTGAAAAGACAAGATTTTAGTTTTTATCATATATTATAATGAATCGAAGTAATTTGAAAGCCATATTACAATGTTACATATTGATTTTCTTTCATTCCAGCCACAAAAGTACACATGTTAAGTGGATATATGAATGCATGAGTACATGAAAAGAATATGATTAAGAGTGTAGATATACTATTATAGATATTTACATGAACTTAACTATGACTAAAAGCAGCCAAACTGCCAAATGGAATAATATTAATAGCCTCTCATAGAAAGTATAGACAGTGATAAAAAGTCCTCCCTTCTACTTCTAGCGGATAATAGGCGACCTATTTATTAGTCCTTTTTAATTTAAATGTTTTTTAGGGAAGAATGAAAATAGATAAAATCAACAGATATTACGAAATAATTCATTAATTGATCGGACCTAAATATCAATAAAGACCTCTCATAGAATAGAAAAAAGCAACCTATCGTGCATATGTATAGTAAAGTGAGATATTTTAGATTGTGTGAGAATATTTCAGTGAATTACACACGCTCACCAACGGGCACACTCTCCCAGCAACCTCGAGAAGAAGAACGAAAAAAAGACAGCTGAACAAGAAAAGATTAAAGACATTTTTTTGGAAATCGACGACATTATTAGCTCGAGATGAAAACAATGGTGGTTTTATCTCAGGATCTGAACTGCAAATTCTAGGGTTTGTATTTGAGGTTATATTCGGTTCTTTGCTCATAAGCAATTAGATACTTGATAGTCGTCGCTAGACAGAGCTCTCAGAATAGGTGGTGAATTTCTCTCTCTCTAAGCCCGCTGTAACGGGAAGTATGGTACAATTTATTCAGATGGAAGGTAAAATAGGGGGCGGAGACAGCTTCAGAAAAAATCAGAGCAATAAGGTAGTCGCGTTTCCTGTCCATAGACCTCGTTGCCTTCGTTGTTTGTTTGTGCACTAATTATGTGGTCATTTCCATATTCATACTCCTGCTATTTATCGTTGAATTACTATTTACATTCCTTAGGGCTTAACAGAGCCAAATTATACCGATCTTGCGGGTTTTCTGCTATTAACTTTTGTAATTAATATATTTATAAAAAAATAATAAGCAGATAAATAATTTTAAGAATAAATGGTTAAGATTTCCTATTTTAATTGCCCACCCAATTGCAAAATATGTATAATGTAAATATATTTTTTACAGTTATTATTAGGAAGAAAAAATAGATAATTATAGTAGTAATATCAATTGATTATTAAAGTTTTTCATTTCACTAATTTCTCACATTAATAAAAAATTGTTGAATTCATTAGAAAAATGGTTATAGTGTGTATGTTTTTTTAAGGCTTTTGGACTTTATGTAACATTATTTATACATGATCAGAAATGAATTTTTACTCTGTTAATAATCTTTAAGAACCGATCCACACATAAGCCTATCCCAATACTTTTATCTTACTAGAATATAATCTCTTTTTAGCTTTAATCATTCCACTCTCCAAAGCCTATAGTAATAATCATTAAGATGCCATTTTAAATATATTTACAATTTTTAATCAAAATTTAAAAGTTCTTTTATTACAGAAACTGTTGTTTGTTATTATAGATGGGCTAAATAAATTATTAGTTTCAATTGATAAACTCTTGTCATAGGTTTTGTGCTAATGTTTAATTTTTGTACAATCTTTACTTGAATAAATAAAAAAAAATAAGACATCTCCTATTGTGAGATAAAAACTTCATCTTTAAAATAGTAATTTTTATAAAAATTGAGGATTAGAAAAAAAATAGCTAAACTAATTAAACATTAAATACTGATTGATCTTTTTTGAACCAAATAAAAATATTATAGAATTACATAGTATTAATATTTAAAGTTTTTCTATTGTGTAAATAAAGGGATATTTCTTCTAAAATTTTGACGCATCCACACCAAATAAATAATATATAAAGTCATTATGGATAATTATGCGCTATTACTCTCAACCATTTGCTTTAATACTCGCCTTATCCCACAACTTATGGCTATTATTGTTGTGCTATATGCAAGTTAATGTTTACGCAAAATGAGCAGGTATACCCTATATTCTAATCTCACATTTATGATACTCCGAGGATTATACAATGCCAATAATTCGTGTTTTAGTTGCGTATGCAACTCAATGACCTGGCCCTCTTCGTACATATATACTTAACAAAATTCTCTAAACAAAACAATAGAGAAAAAAGAAATATTTCCCTAAATAAACTCGACTTTGGTTCAGGTGGCAAAACCATTTCTATAATTACAGAAGAGTATCTGTGTGTTCTTTTGGTGTCAATAAATAGAACTCCCATATATTAGAGTACCATCCCAAATTCTCTCTACCTAGAGATTCATCACTCTCAAACAATCTAATTAAAAGAAGCCATATACTATTCATATTTGAATTTAGATAAACTAGATTACTTAATCTAACAGTAATTTCGCTAAGCGAGTAAGTAAAAAAGAAGAATCAAACATTTTAATTTCTCTGGAATTTGCCACATCTTTTTTTTCTTTTGCTTTTTTTGTTAAGTGTACTATTCAGACCCATAATAGTCCTTGGATCATATACTCGTGTATTTTGTCCTAATAATCCCTACGATGTGCTTTTGTATAATTTTGGAAAAATAGGGCTCAGATTGCTTAGACTACCCTCCCCAAGTAATAAAAAATAATAAATGAAAATTTTTATTTAATACAGTGTCTATTGTCATTGCAATTCCAACATACATTTTGCTTATCCAACTAAATTCCCAACAACCGAATATCAGTAGTAATTGTGCTCCATTTTTCAAATTTATACAATTAGACTGCTTTGTAGTGACACTAGGCTAGTATAACAAAATTTACTATATAAATCATTGGTGTCATCTTAGATCTAATAAATCTTCATTGAATCACACAACATTAGATTTTTACTAATCTACTTTTCCTTTACCCAGTCTATATAAGGGAAGTATCTAGATGTAGTAAACATCTGGTTTATTAAACATAACTTATACCTTCTCGATATCGTGTGGAAAATAATAATATAGTCTCGTATTTTTAGCCACGATTACTAATATTTCTTTACTTTCATTTATCTAAATATTCTGAACAGCTTCAAAATTTGAGCAGTTTGCAAATATCCCGCGCATCCAAGATTGGCATTTGGAGGACCAAACATGGAGAGAACGCCCTTTGTGGGATGCCAGTTACCATACGGATGAATTAAATAATCTAGCATTAATCTCGAGCTTAATAGTTTGACTATTTATAAAATAATTCCAAAAGAAGATACGGAATTTTTTAGCAAAATCCTTTAAATTTAATACACTGATTATATATTTAACAGTTACAACTCTAAAACCAAAAGATTGTGTATTTCCGTGATTTAAAATTCTATTTAGATATAGACTGGATAAAGGAATTTTCTTGAGTACTTTTTCATTCTTTGGTAAGGTATTGCATTATTGAATATCTATTTGTTACATTTTTTTTCTATTTAATTATGGTTATTTATTATATTCTCAAATATTCGTCGTGGGCGTATGTCTATTTTATTTGAAGAAGAAGATCAAGATATAAAGCTAGAGGTCACAGAGAAAAGTTCAAAAGTGATTTTAGAACAAGATCGTCCTTCGAAACCAATTGGGATCTAATTGTTAAGTCGTATCAAGGGGAGGGTCGAATGGTTCATAGATTTCTGTTAGACCCAAAGGATCCGCCGTGAAGCAGTGATTTGGGCTAGTGAAAATAAAAATCCACTATGCTGTGATCCTTTTGCAAGGATGCATCGAGAGTCTTTTGCGCATAGAGACTTATGGCACG